GATAATTTATGTCTAAATATTTTTATGGGCGATAAAAGTATTATTCTTTATAATAAATTGTTTTTAGGAAAATATTGTCTAAATAATAATTTTGGTTAGAGTAATCTGATTTCTAGATAATATCGACGTGGATTTAGCATATGACCAATGATTGTGATGAAACCTAATCCATGCGGATGGGTCCAGGTTGAGAGAGAGCGAGAACCTGGAAGTCCTTGTTGACCAGCATGCCAACGGTGCAGAAAGCGGCGGCCAAGAAGCACATCACCAGCTGAATCTCCAAGACCAGCGAGTTAGTGACCGCGTGCTCGGCCTTCTTGTACGTCAGCTCCACCAGCGGAAGTACGAACGCGTACAGCACCGCCGCCCCGAGTGTCATGAAGAACCCCGCGTATTATGTCCTGTCCGACTCCCCTGCCGGCCGGTTGCTGCTCGTGTGCATCGCCAGCACCCCTGCCCCATAGTTAGCAGGAATAATGAGTTGATCGAGTACGACGTGAACCGCTGCCTCATCAGCAGGAACGCGAACCCGGCTGTGAAGGCCAGCTGCGTGGCGATGAGTAGGGCCGATGTCGAGATAGGGAGCCGCACCACACCGTACACATAGAGGTAGTCGTCGAGGCCTATGAGAACCCCGATGACGGCCGAGGCAGCAAAGAGGATGGGGTCCATGAGGACAAGGCAGGCAGAGGGGCCCTCGGCGGAGTGGCGGCAGAAGTAGGCTACCGCGAGGGGGAGGAAGATGATCGGCCAGCCGCCCGTCTCGAGCCAGTTGGAGAGCCACACGCGGGCACCACCCCGGATGAAGTAGAGGCGCATGAGGAGCGGGCCACCACACGTGCCGAGGGAGAGCATGGCGCAGTTGAGTGCGAGGAGGAGACGCTTTAGGGTTTTGCCCTGGGGACCTTCCATAGTTTCCACCGTGACAAAGCTCGCTCTCTCTCTTTGTGATCTCCTAGGATTAAATGTTTAGACCATGGTTTGTTCATTCTAAATGGACCCGTCAAAATGGGTAATAAACGTATTTTTTAATCAATATTTGATGGATTGAGTTGTCATATGTGTTAGTTATAGTTAATGAATGGGTCATAAATGAATTTATGATGGCAAAACCCAAAATAAATATAAGTATTAAATGAGTTCCCAACTTACTTATATCAAACCCGCTTCTTGACCCTTTCTCTTTACTCTCTCTCTCTCACCCTCACTCAATCTTGCGCTCGCTCACTCCGCACTCTCATCTTGGTTTGGGGATGAGTTTTCCTAAATTGGGTTAAATATGGAAGTATTTTAGCAATATGTGTTAGGTTGGATATGCGTTGGATTGGGTACGTGTCACTAAATTTGTATTGCATGGAAATGGGTTAAAACGGGTTAAATGGATCAATTTGGGTTGGAAAATTTTTAACTTGACCCAACACACCCATTTGACAGGTCTAATTCTAAAGGAGAAAGTTTAGAACATACTATATTAAATGTTTGAATCTAAATCTTTCATTATTATCTAATTCATTCACATTTCTTCTCGTTTTCATTTTTAAAGAATTTCTTGAGAGAAGTTGTTAAGTCGGTTTTGTTTTGACATAGTCAAGTGCAAATTAACTGGATATTACATTAGGATAATTACCCAAAAAGTATTAAATTAAATTTATGTTTGGTCGTCTTAATTTCTTACCAAAATAGGACTGCATAGGATAATATATGAAATCTAAGGATTTTGCCATATTCTATCCATTATTTGGTAAAATGCAGGGCCTAATTCCCTAAAAAATCCCAAACTTTAGGTATTATCCAAAATCTACCCTAAACTTTTTTTTGTCTCATAAAAAACCACAAACTTTTATTTCAAACCCAAATCTGCCCTAGGTTAATTTTCTGTCCAGATGTTTACAAATTTTTTCCAACTTGTCATCCACGTGTCTATCTTCTTTTCCCACGTCAGCTTGGGTTGACTGTTTCTTTCTTTCTTTTTTGTTTTTTCATTCTCTTCTCCCTTTCACTTTCCGCCATGGACAACGAGAGCACCATCAAGAACACAGAGGAAGCCCAGGTGCTGCCACACGCCGGTCACCGCCGCAACAGCTTGCGTGCACGTTGCCACGACTTCCTCGTCACCTCGTCGTTATTGTAAGCCCAGACGCTTCCATTTGCCGAGCCTCCACCCCCTCTATTTGTCGGTGGATAGTTGAATTTGGGATCAGGATGTCGGATCCAACGCCGCCTCGCCCAGATTTGGAGTCGCTGGCCTTGGGCGACCCTGGATCTTGTGTCGCCGGCAGTCGCCCAAGGCCGGCGACACCATCGTCGCTTTCAATCTTCACATTGCGACCTCTCCGTCTATCTCTGCGTTGGTCAGTCATTTGGGCCAAAATCTTCCCTTTTCTCTGTTTCTAATGAAACTCTAGCACTAAAATGGCGACCAGAGGTAGCAAATCGGAAAAGGTGAAGCGAATTTTCCAGCATTTGATGGGAACCGTGATGGAGGGCTCAATAGGGAGGAAATGGTCGCGCTCGCGGTGGCCGTGAACCCGAGGGTCAAGTTCAAGACCTAGGGCGAGTGCATTGACGGCGAGAAGGGGCTCACCTATGAGGGCTTGTTGAGGACCTACGATAATGGCACCGGCGACGTGGACTGCTACTTCAACGTGCTGGGCCTCAAGCTCAATTCCGCCGACGCCAAGAACAAGGAAGTGAGGTCGGGCTCGGACGAGGTGTCGTCGTCGATTGCTGACGAGAGGGCAATGGAGATGCAGAAGAAGCAGAGGACAGCAACTTGGGCTGGTGTCGCCTAACCATGGGGTGGCGTTTGCGGATGATTTGGAGATTTAGGTGAAGAGGTTGAAGGCGAAGGATGAAGAAGGTGAATGGCGGAAAGTGAAAGGGAGAAGAGAATGAAAAAACAAAAAAGAAAGAAAGAAACAGTCAACCCAAGCTGACGTGGGAAAAGAAGATAGACACGTGGATGACAAGTTGGAAAAAATTTGTCAACATTTGGACAGAAAATTAACCTAGGCCAGATTTGGGTTTGAAATAAAAGTTTGTGGTTTTTTATGAGACAAAAAAAAGTTTAGGGTAGATTTGGGACAATACCTAAAGTTGAAGGTTTTTTAAGGGAATTAGGCCTAAAATGCAGTAATAATAATTTCATAATTTATCCTATCCATTATTTGGTATGAACGACATATCAGTGTAAATAAATATAAAAATACACAAATAAAGATGGCGAGAATCACTTACGATCCACTACTAAAGAAATCACAAATGCACAAATGGAGATATTCTCCACTAATAAATTCATGATTGTTATATGATCTAAATCTTAAACAGCATAAGAGCTACGGGTTCGACCATGACAAGAAATGTAAATGAGTTACAGCAACATTGAAGGGGTGGACAGACCGAATGTCGAATATGGTAAGAGCGAGAAAACATGATTATTCATCTTCGCGATTCCGTAAAGTATAACGCTTCGAACTCTCTCGCTTGCTTCATTTTTATTTACTTATTATTTTTATTATTTTTCTCTCTTTTTTTTATCTTTTCTTTTTTAATTCTATTCCATCATTCCTTAATGAAATTTATTAAATAATAAACTATACTAGTATACCCAAAATATAAACACTAAGCAGTTTAAAGATTGGTCATCTCATCATAGTAGCTAGTTTGTAACCAAAGTGAGATGATACAGGTTAACCATAAAAAGCCCCCCAACTTTTTCAGTTCGCCTCACTTCTGGAATCTACATAACCATGAAGAGCAGGGAAGCTTGCACTGGCGAAGCAAAGTTTCACTACCATGCACAAAGTGATCTTCATCGTCTGTCTAGCTCTGGACATCCATATTCAAGGTAACTCATATTATGATCTTAGGCTGACATTAGAAAACCTCTTCGGCTTTCTATCCACGTTAAGATCCCCACATTGATATTGCAGATTCTGGACACATTAACGTGGTGCATGAACTGCTTGATAACATGATTACAGAACTGGGAAATTTCAAAAGCCGAGGTCTTCACAGGCTTGAGAGCAGGTGCCTTGTGAAGGCAGCTGAGAACAATTCCCATGCAACTCTCAGGTTTAACTGAAACAAGAGGCGCTTCCAGATTTGCTGAGTTAGTATGGAGAGGACTTAGCCATCGCAACAGGCTGTGTAGAAACAGCTCATTTGCCATGCTTGCAGTGCACTACAGTGGCTTTCAACATATACCGAACCACAGAAGCAGCATGATTGCTACTCGATCTCAAGACATGATGAAACTTAAAATGTTATAAGAGCTTGATGGAATTCAAGTATAAATTCAGGCGTAGTGAATAATTGCCCTTGTGGCTGAGAGGGAGAAAGGTAAATTTAAAGTTTGTCACATGTAATGCTATGGAGTTCGGTGTTCTCATCTTTTTGTGGCTTCAGCCGTTGACATTGAGACAAAAGTAGATATGGCAATAGGGAAAACTAGGGGTGAGTATGGTCCAGGTGGGCGATTCTCACCCTAGAATTGGGAACCGCCCGGTTAACTGATTCTCATTTATGCATCTACTTGGGTGATCTTATTTTCATTTAGCTACCCAAATCATGCCACTTGTAACCTTTTGTTCTTTATCAAGTGTTTTTAGCCCCAATGTCCTTGTGGCTTTTAAGCTTAGTTAACTGGTATCTATTGCCTTTAACTCATGAGAAACACAAGTCAATGTCTTCTCTATCTTTCTCGTTATTGCTTGAAATGATTACTTCTCAAATAATATTCCTCATTCATGCATTTTACTTGGCCAATGATGGTCTCTTTTTTTCCAATCAAATATCTTCATCTTTTTAATCCAAACCATGCCGTTTGTCACTCAAATAATAACTCACATGCTATTAAATTGTGACATTGAACTTAGCCTATCAAATTATATCATGAGATCATAAATGTTATAGTGTTCTAACTCTAGTTACTTTATATCATAATTATAACCCTAGTTAATTAACATGAGTTGAAGTTATTCTATAAAATAAGTATGCAATTGAAGGTTAAGGAGATGCCATGTAGATCACTAACGGCAGCGCTGTGGAACAGTATGCAATTGCAGGTTGACAGTAATCACCTTGTAAATAATATAGAAGGCCCTCTTGTTACTTTCATACGAACACTCTCAGGGCTAGAATTACAACATACTATAACAGCAGGATAAGTATGAGCCATGTCTTTCATTTTTTGTCATCAGGGAAGGCCAAATTGATGCATTTGGGTCTCTGGAGGTATAACCTGCTTTTGCTCTGCTCTTGCTTCTTTTTCCTTCTTCGCAAGTTTCAATTCGCCGTAGAAGTATGAAGCAAAGCCCCAGAGCGAGAGGGCGAGGGACACGCCTTTCTCCGCCTGGAACTTCTCCTGGAAGCATATGACGGCTAGGATCTCGGTGACCGGGAGAAAAACAGCGATGATGATTCCTGAGAATAGAGAGGAAGCACAGAAGATGACTCCTACGGCTCCCAAGAAAAAGAATTGACAGATGATCGCGGTCCACACGAGCACCACATAGTATCGGGCTTCTCCGAGCTCGTAGTTCCTTGCTTCTCTTGGAATCGCCTGCGTAAACATGATGTCGGGAGCAACCTTATGTCATTCTGGTCGTAGTTTTTAGTTTTCCCCTATAAGCGGCTTCTCAATTATAGAACTTCAATCAGACGAGACTAAAGTATTGTCTTACCATCCAAATATCATCGACTCTAGCAGATTCAAAAGATAAATGTAGGATAGTTTTATTAGAGCAATCGACCATAACTATTGATCTTGGCAACAGCTGTTAAAAGTCTCGGAAAACCCCCGCAGGAGACTGAAAAAAACCAAGATTAAGAAATGTTTTTGGTTTGAGTAATACGATTTCTAAGACAATATGGTAGAGAGGGAAGATACTCGTATGTATATTGATCATGAATCATTCCAAACTCGCGGGAAGTGGGAACCTCGTGAAATCAACTTTACATGAGGATTGATTGTGATGGAAACCTAGAGAACCCATGTCGATGGGTCCAGGTAGAGAGAGAACCTGGAAGTCCTTGTTGACCAGCATCCCGACGGTGCAGAAAGCGGTGGCGAAGAAGCACATCACCAACTGAATCTCCAAGACTAGCGAGTAAGTGACCGCCTGCTTGGCCTTCTTGTACGTCAGCTCCACCAGCGGCAGTACAAAACCATACAGCGCCGCCGCCCCAAGCGTCATGAAGAACCCAGCGTAGTACGCCCCATCCGACTCCCCCGCCGGCCGGTCGCTGCTCGTGTGCATCGCCAGCACCACTGCCCCTATGGTCAGCAGGAATATCGAGTTGATCGAGTACGACGTGAACCGCTGCTTCACCAGCAGGAACGCGAACCCGGCCGTGAAGGCCAGCTGTGTCCCGATGAGCAGGGACGACGTCGAGACGGGGATTCGAGCCAAGCCGTAGGCGTAGAGGTAGTTGACGATGCCCGTGAGGATCCCGATGACAGCCGAGGCGGCAAAGAGGAAGGGGTCCATGAGGACGAGGTGGGCGGAGGGGCCCTTGGCGGAGCGGCGGCGGAAGTAGGCTACCGCGAGCGGGAAAACGATGATCGGCCAGCCGACCGTCTCGAGCCAGCTGGAGAGCCACACGCGGGTGCCGCCACGGACGAAGTAGAGGCGTATGAGGAGCGGGCTGCCGCCCGTGCCGACAGAGAGCATGGCGCAGTTGAGCGCGAAGAGGAGGCGCTTTCGGGTTTTGCCCCCGGAGGCTTCCGTGGTCTCCATCTCCGCCATGACAAAGCTCTCGCTCCGGTTCTCTATCTCTCTCATCGCTCTGGGATTGTTTCTGGTCGGGGTTTCTCGTCAATCTTTCACAAAGATTTATAAATTGAATCTAGTCAATCATTCACAAAGCTTGGAGAATAAATCATTTAATTTATTCACATTTGTTTTCATTTCGATTTATTAGGACTTCGCTACTAATTATAGTCATTTTGTTTTGATATGGGCAAGTGCATGTTAACTAGACAGTACCTATACGAATTTATGTAACTTGGTCCCTTATTAAATTACGTTTTGAGTTTCAGCCATTGAAGAAAAATCTAAGGCAATAATATTCCTGAGGATACCGCCGGTCAAACCAAATCTCCATAGAAATATTAGAGAAAGGGCAGTTTGCTTTCATGGTCGGGCGAAATTGCTGACCGGGGCTCACTTTCTTCATTATTGTACTCAGATATCATCATCATAATTAATTAGGCAGGAAAGAAGGAGAGTTACGCTGGTCCATTCTTTGACTTGTAGAAGTGGAGCTTTGACTTTACTGGTAAGCCTCAGTTTTCATTAGCCCCATCGGAAATCGACGAAGGTTTTTGCTGTGAAAATGAATGAACCAGAAGATATTTTTTTTTTAAAAACGATAACTTGCATGAAAATTATTTTTATTGTTCACGAAAATATTAAACATAATTATTGTTGATAATTATAATACTTTTTATTGATTATTTATTTCAAGGAATCAAATAAATATTTTTCGAATTATTTATTTTTCGTAAAATAAACACTGTCGTATAACGGAGTTTGCCTTCTCTCAACCGAACAAAGGATCTGTCTTGAACACGGTGATATTTGTGCGAGAGAATTTCTTATCCACCGGGTTATTTCAATCTCTTTTTGAGCATATGACTAACGCTCGTTGGGTGTGGCCCTCCCTATCCCACATGCATCGGGTGTGATCTTGAAGATGGCTCCATGGGAACGCGCAAATGCAATGATTTGAACCCAGATCTTTGAACGTGAAGGACAAACACTCTGATCATTGCTTGTCGTGTAGTGTAGAGATTAGGAACCTTTCATTTTCAATCGATTTTCTTGACGTGGCTGTTGAGTTCGACGGGAACTCATCCCTACCCTAGGCTAAAAATATCCATGGAACGCGATTGCGACATCATACGTAGAAAGATTGAGACAGAAGTACTAGGAATCCTACGATTTGCATTGAATTGTAAGTTGAAATCAAAATCTTTTGGCTTGCCATTAAATCCCAATCCTAAAATTTGTAAAATCGACACGATTGAGGTGGCGGTTAAATCAATCTCGTTAGATAAATGAAAACTTTAATATCATATTTTCTGCTGTTTTCTCTTTTGCACGTGGCTATTTAACATAAGTGGAGGGTGCATGTGTGCTTGTTGATGCTCGCTCGTGCAATGTGGATGCATTTTGCAGTCTAAGAGTTGTATATTTTGGAAACCATCAATCTATGAAGATTGTCCGCACAACTACGACAGTCAACAGTTCCCTATTTTTCTTGTCAAATGAAGCCGAAATTCAACGTCGATGTGATGGCTCTGCCTTTGGCTTATGAAATCGATTTACAAAATGAGCTAATACACTTTGATTTCAAAGCTGTTTATCTCTGACTTATTTGTCTAGCCACATGTTGTGCACGCATATCTAGGCGAACGTCAAACTCGCCATGGACCACAAGACACGTGCATGCATGAATCCAAACACCCGCTGATTCCTACAACAAAAAATCGGTTTAAGGTGTGAAAAGGTTGATTCGCGAATCGCTATACCAAACAAACAAGAAGTGGGTACGATTGCACACAAGCCCTTGATATCCTTTGACTGTATAAAAAAGGTTGGATCTGCCTCCGGGTCCTGGCACCAACAGTGCAGACAAGCAATGATATAACCAAGAAACTTGGAAACTGTACTGTATCTGCTACAGTTGGACTCCCGATCTAGAAATGTTGTCACAGATTCCATTCTACCCAGTTCATTTGGTTTCCGGTTTCTTGCTTCTTCAGAGCTGAAGAACCCTTTCCCTGTAGTTTAAAAGCCTTTTGGAAACACATAACCAAGAAAATTACAAGGAGAAAGCTTCTTTGCAACATTAATCACAGGGCTAGCCAAAATCTCTCTGTGTGAGAGAGAGAGAGAGAAAGGTGTATTGAAAGTTTGTCACTAGTCATGCTAGAGTTCAGTGTCCTCATCTTTACGTGGCTTCAACAGTCTGATCAGAGCGGTCGACATCGAGGCAAAAGTAGGCAGGGCAGAAGGAAAAACTGTTTCTTTTTAAAGCAGATCGCATCATCGGGAGGAGCTTCTAATCTATGAACTTCTCGTGGGAAGATGCCAATATCGGTGGAACTTTTTGTGTTCTATTCACGTTGTGGGAGCACTATGTATTTTGTATCTTCTTTCTTGATAGTTTGGTTTAGTGGACAAAGTGAAGGCCTCCACATGAAAGTAAAGGGTACTTCATAGAACAAGCTTGGCGTATCTCAAAAGATGATCTTTGACTTCTTTGTCACCATCTGCAAGGTGATCTTCCTACCTCAAACCGTTGATTAACGGGGACAGAAAGCTAGAAGTACAGTTCTCTTTCAAATAAAAGGTCAAATGTGTCTCCCATTGGATATTCTGACTGATTATGTAAACTTGCTTCAATCAATCTGGCGGTTCCCTGTCATTGTCTCAATTAGCACCGCTGTATTAGATGCGATAGGATTCTCCTTGGTCAATTCAGGCTATTCAGTTTCAATGAACAGGGCGAAACATAAACAAGAGGGCGGCGAACCAAAGAAAAAGGAAAGAGGGTATATTCTGAAATTCCCTGGCTTTTGTCATTGTCTCTCTGTCTTGCTCATCACTAGATTGTTCTTTTTCTGCCCAAAAACAGAGTCTCTATGCAGTGCAGATCCAAATTTCGCTAAGTCTGAGCCGTGTCTTTCTTTTTTTAACCTTCAGGGAAGGCCTTGCTGATGCATTTCGGTCTCTGGAGGTCTGATCTACTGCTGCTGCTCTTTCTTTTTCCTTCTTGGCAATTTTGAATTCGCCGTAAAAATACGAAGCGAAGCCCCAAAGCGAGAGGGCGAGGGACACACCTTTCCCTGCCTGGAACTTCTCCTGGAAGATTATGACAGCTAGGATCTCAATGACCGGGAGAAGAACGGCGGTGATGATTCCCGAGAATAGAGAGGAGGCACAGAAGACGACTCCTATGGCTCCTAAGAATAAGAATTGATAGATGATCGCGTTCCACACGAGCACCACATAGTATGTGGCTTCTCCGAGCTCGTAGTTCCTTGCTTCTGTAGGAATCGCCTGCGTAAGCATGATGTCAGGAGCAACCTTACGTCATTCTGATCATAGTTTTTAGTTTTCCCGTTTCAGTGGTTTCTGAATTATAGAACTTCAATCGAAGGAGACTAAAGTATTGTTATTGTCTTACCATCCAAATATCATTCACTCTAGCAGATTCAAAAGATAATTATAGGATAGTTTTATTAGAGCAATCGACCATAACTATTGATCATGGCAAAAGCTGTTAAAGTCTCGTAAAACCCCCGCAGGAGACTGAAAAAAACCAAGATTAAGAAACGTTTTGGTTTGAGTAATTCGATTTCTAAGAGGATATGGTAGAGAGAGAAGATACTCGTATGTATATTGGTCATGAGTCGCATGCAATCATGCTCATTCCAATTTCTGGGAACCACATGAAAACAACTTTGCAGGACCAATGATTGTGATGGAAACCTAACCCGTGTGGATGGGTCCAGGTTGAGAGAGAACCTGGAAGTCCTTGTTGATCAGCATGCCCACGGTGCAGAAAACGGTGGCGAAGAAGCACATCACCAACTGAATCTCCAAGACCAGCGAGTAAGTGACCGCCTGCTTGGCTTTCTTTTACGTCAGCTCCACCAGCGGCAGTATGAACCCGTACAGCGCCGCTGCCCCAAGCGTCATGAAGAACCCAGCGTAGTACGCCCCGTCCGACTCCCCCGCCGGCCGTTCGCTGCTCGTTTGCATCACCAGCACCCCCGCCCCGATAGTCAGCAGGAATATCGAGATGATCGAGTACCACGTGAACCGCTGCTTCACCAGCAGGAACGCGAAGCCGGCTGTGAAGGCCAGCTGCGTCCCGACGAGCAGGGACGATGTTGAGACGGGGAGTTGAGCCACGCCGTAGGCGTAGAGGTAGTTGTCGAGGCCCATGAGGACCCCGATGACAGCCGAGGCGGCGAAGAGGAAGGGATCCATGAGGACGAGGCGGGCGGAGGGGCCCTTGGTGGAGCGGCGGCGGAAGTAGGCTACCGCAAGTGGGAAAACGATGATCGGCCAGCCGCCCATTTCGAGCCAGCTGGAGAGCCACACGCGGGCGCCGCCGCGGACGAAGTAGAGGCGCATGAGGAGCGGGCCGCCGCACGTGCCGACAGAGAGCATGGCGCAGTTGAGTGCGAGGAGGAGGCGCTTTCGGGTTTTGCCCCTGGAGGCTTCCGTGGTCTCCATCTCCGCCATGACAAAGCTCTCGCTCCGGTTCTCTATCTCTCTCATCGCTCTGGGATTGTTTCTGGTCGGGGTTTCTCGTCAATCTTTCACAAAGATCTTTAAATCGAATCTAGTCAATCATTCACAAAGCTTGGAGAATAAATCATTTAATTTATTCACATTTGTTTTCATTTCGATTTATTAGGACTTCGCTACTAATTATAGTCATTTTGTTTTGATATGGGCAAGTGCATGTTAACTAGACAGTACCTATACGAACTTATGTAACTTGGTCCCCTATTAAATTACGTTTTGAGTTTGAGCCATTGAAAAAAAATCTAAGGCAATAATATTCCTGAAGATACCGCCGGTCAAACCAAATCTCCATAGAAATATTAGAGAAAGGGCAGTTTGCTTTCATGGTCGGGCGAACTTGCTGACTGGGGCTCACTTTCTTCATTATTGTACTTGTTTTTGGGTCAGATATCATCATCATAATTAATTAGGCAGGAAAGAAGGAGAGTTACGCTGGTCCATTCTTTGACTTATAGAAGTGGAGCTTTGACTTTACAGATCAGCCTCAGTTTTCATTAGCCCCATCGGAAAGCGACGAAGTTTTTGCTGTGAAAATGAATGAACCAGAAGATATTTTTTTTTAAAAATAATAACTTGCATGAAAATTATTTTTATCGTTCATGAATATGTTAAGCATAATTGTTATTGATAATTACAGTATTTTTTATTGATTAATTATTTCAATGAATCAAAAAAATATTTTTCGCAAAATAAACACTGCCGTATAATGGAGTTTGCCTTCTCTCTACCGAACAAAGGATCTGTCTTGAACACGGTGATATTCGCGCGGAAGAATTTCTTATCCACCGGGTTATTACAGTCTCTTTTTGAGCATATGACTAACGCTCGTTGGGTGTGGCCCTCCCAATCCCACATGCATCGGGATATTATCGAAAACACAAAGATTTGTGATCTTGAAGATGGCTCCATGGGAACGCGCAAATGCGATGATTTGAACCCAGATCTTGAACGTGAAGGACAAACACTCTGATCATTGCTTGTCGTGTAGTGTAGAGATTGGGAACCTTTCATTTTCAATCGATTTTCTTGACGTGGTTGTTGAGTTCGGTGGGAACTCATCCCTACCCTAGGCTAAAAATATCCATGGAACGAGATTGCAACATCATACCTAGAATGATTGAGACAAAAGTATTAGGAATCCTACGATTTGCATTGAATTGTAAATTGAAATCAAAATCTTTTGGCTTGCCATTAAATCCCAATCCTAAAATTTGTAAAATCGACACAATTGAGGTGGCGGTTAAATCAATCTCGTTAGATAAATGAAAACTTTAATATCATATTTTCTGCTGTTTTCTCTTTTGCACATGGCTATTTAACATAAGTGGAAGCTGCATGTGTGCTTGTTGATGCTCGCTCGTGCAATGTGGATGCATTTTGCAGTCTAAGAGTTGTATATTTTGGAAACCATCAATCTATGAAGATTGTCCGCACAACTACGACAGTCAACAGTTCCCTATTTTTCTTGTCAAATGCAGCCGAAATTCAACGTCGGTGTGATGACTCTGCCTTTGGCTTATGAAATCGATTTACAAAATGAGCTAATACACTTTGATTTCAAAGCTGTTTATCTCTGACTTATTTGTCTAGCCACATGTTGTGCACGCATATCTAGGCGAACGTCAAACTCGCCATGGACCACAAGACACGTGCATGCATGAATCCAAACACCCGCTGATTCCTACAACAAAAAATCGTTTTAAGGTGTGAAAAGGTTGATTCGCGAATCGCTATACCAAACAAACAAGAAGTGGGTACGATTGCACACAAGCCCTTGAAATCCTTTGACTGTATAAAAAAGGTTGGATCTGCCTCCGGGTCCTGGCACCAACAGTGCAGACAAGCAATGATATAACCAAGAAACTTGGAAACTGTACTGTATCTGCTACAGTTGGACTCCCGATCTAGAAATGTTGTCACAGATTCCATTCTACCCAGTTCATTTGGTTTCCGGTTTCTTGCTTCTTCAGAGCTGAAGAACCCTTTCCCTGTAGTTTAAAAGCCTTTTGGAAACACATAACCAAGAAAATTACAAGGAGAAAGCTTCTTTGCAACATTAATCACAGGGCTAGCCAAAATCTCTCTGTGTGAGAGAGAGAGAGAGAAAGGTGTATTGAAAGTTTGTCACTAGTCATGCTAGAGTTCAGTGTCCTCATCTTTACGTGGCTTCAACAGTCTGATCAGAGCGGTCGACATCGAGGCAAAAGTAGGCAGGGCAGAAGGAAAAACTGTTTCTTTTTAAAGCAGATCGCATCATCGGGAGGAGCTTCTAATCTATGAACTTCTCGTGGGAAGATGCCAATATCGGTGGAACTTTTTGTGTTCTATTCACGTTGTGGGAGCACTATGTATTTTGTATCTTCTTTCTTGATAGTTTGGTTTAGTGGACAAAGTGAAGGCCTCCACATGAAAGTAAAGGGTACTTCATAGAACAAGCTTGGCGTATCTCAAAAGATGATCTTTGACTTCTTTGTCACCATCTGCAAGGTGATCTTCCTACCTCAAACCGTTGATTAACGGGGACAGAAAGCTAGAAGTACAGTTCTCTTTCAAATAAAAGGTCAAATGTGTCTCCCATTGGATATTCTGACTGATTATGTAAACTTGCTTCAATCAATCTGGCGGTTCTCATTGTCTCAATTAGCACCGCTGTATTAGATGCGATAGGATTTTCCTTGGTCAATTCAGGCTATTCAGCTTCAATGAACAGGGCGAAACATAAATAAGAGGGCGACCAATGAAAAAGGAAAGAGGGTATATTCTGAAATTCCCTGGCTTTTGTCATTGTCTCTCTGTCTTGCTCATCACTAGATTGTTCTTTTTCTGCCCAAAAACAGAGTCTCTATGCAGTGCAGATCCAAATTTCGCTAAGTCTGAGCCGTGTCTTTCTTTTTTTAACCTTCAGGGAAGGCCTTGCTGATGCATTTCGGTCTCTGGAGGTCTGATCTACTGCTGCTGCTCTTTCTTTTTCCTTCTTGGCAATTTTGAATTCGCCGTAAAAATACGAAGCGAAGCCCCAAAGCGAGAGGGCGAGGGACACACCTTTCCCTGCCTGGAACTTCTCCTGGAAGATTATGACAGCTAGGATCTCAATGACCGGGAGAAGAACGGCGGTGATGATTCCCGAGAATAGAGAGGAGGCACAGAAGACGACTCCTATGGCTCCTAAGAATAAGAATTGATAGATGATCGCGTTCCACACGAGCACCACATAGTATGTGGCTTCTCCGAGCTCGTAGTTCCTTGCTTCTGTAGGAATCGCCTGCGTAAGCATGATGTCAGGAGCAACCTTACGTCATTCTGATCATAGTTTTTAGTTTTCCCGTTTCAGTGGTTTCTGAATTATAGAACTTCAATCGAAGGAGACTAAAGTATTGTTATTGTCTTACCATCCAAATATCATCCACTCTAGCAGATTCAAAAGATAATTATAGGATAGTTTTATTAGAGCAATCGACCATAACTATTGATCATGGCAAAAGCTGTTAAAGTCTCGTAAAACCCCGCAGGAGACTGAAAAAACCAAGATTAAGAAACGTTTTGGTTTGAGTAATTCGATTTCTAAGAGGATATGGTAGAGAGAAAGATACTCGTATGTATATTGGTCATGAGTCGCATGCAATCATGCTCATTCCAATTTCTGGGAACCACATGAAAACAACTTTGCAGGACCAATGATTGTGATGGAAACCTAACCCGTGTGGATGGGTCTAGGTTGAGAGAGAACCTGGAAGTCCTTGTTGATCAGCATGCCCACGGTGCAGAAAGCGGTGGCGAAGAAGCACATCACCAACTGAATCTCCAAGACCAGCGAGTAAGTGACCGCCTGCTTGGCTTTCTTTACGTCAGCTCCACCAGCGGCAGTATGAACCCGTACAGCGCCGCTGCCCCAAGCGTCATGAAGAACCCAGCGTAGTACGCCCCGTCCGACTCCCCGCCGGCCGTTCGCTGCTCGTTTGCATCACCAGCACCCCCGCCCCGATAGTCAGCAGGAATATCGAGATGATCGAGTACCACGTGAACCGCTGCTTCACCAGCAGGAACGCGAAGCCGGCTGTGAAGGCCAGCTGCGTCCCGACGAGCAGGGACGATGTTGAGACGGGGAGTTGAGCCACGCCGTAGGCGTAGAGGTAGTTGTCGAGGCCCATGAGGACCCCGATGACAGCCGAGGCGGCGAAGAGGAAGGGATCCATGAGGACGAGGCGGGCGGAGGGGCCCTTGGTGGAGCGGCGGCGGAAGTAGGCTACCGCAAGTGGGAAAACGATGATCGGCCAGCCGCCCATTTCGAGCCAGCTGGAGAGCCACACGCGGGCGCCGCCGCGGACGAAGTAGAGGCGCATGAGGAGCGGGCCGCCGCCCGTGCCGACAGAGAGCATGGCGCAGTTGAGCGCGAGGAGGAGGCGCTTTCGGGTTTTGCCCCTGGAGGCTTCCGTGGTCTCCATCTCCGCCATGACAAAGCTCTCGCTCCGGTTCTCTATCTCTCTCATCGCTCTGGGATTGTTTCTGGTCGGGGTTTCTCGTCAATCTTTCACAAAGATCTTATAAATCGAATCTAGTCAATCATTCACAAAGCTTGGAGAATAAATCATTTAATTTATTCACATTTGTTTTCATTTCGATTTATTAGGACTTCGCTACTAATTATAGTCATTTTGTTTTGATATGGGCAAGTGCATGTTAACTAGACAGTACCTATACGAACTTATGTAACTTGGTCCCCTATTAAATTACGTTTTGAGTTTGAGCCATTGAAAAAAAATCTAAGGCAATAATATTCCTGAAGATACCGCCGGTCAAACCAAATCTCCATAGAAATATTAGAGAAAGGGCAGTTTGCTTTCATGGTCGGGCGAACTTGCTGACTGGGGCTCACTTTCTTCATTATTGTACTTGTTTTTGGGTCAGATATCATCATCATAATTAATTAGGCAGGAAAGAAGGAGAGTTACGCTGGTCCATTCTTTGACTTATAGAAGTGGAGCTTTGACTTTACAGATCAGCCTCAGTTTTCATTAGCCCCATCGGAAAGCGACGAAGGTTTTTGCTGTGAAAATGAACGAACCAGAAGATATTTTTTTTTTAAAAACGATAACTTGCATGAAAATTATTTTTATCGTTCACGAAAATATTAAACATAATTATTATTGACAATTACAGTGCTTTTTATTGATTATTTATTTCAAGGAATCAAATAAATATTTTTCGAATTATTCATTTTTCAAATAAACACTGCCGTATAATGGAGTTTGCCTTCTCTCTACCGAACAAAGGATCTGTCTTGAACACGGTGATATTCGCGCGGAAGAATTTCTTATCCACCGGGTTATTACAGTCTCTTTTTGAGCATATGACTAACGCTCGTTGGGTGTGGCCCTCCCAATCCCACATGCATCGGGATATTATCGAAAACACAAAGATTTGTGATCTTGAAGATGGCTCCATGGGAACGCGCAAATGCGATGATTTGAACCCAGATCTTTGAACGTGAAGGACAAACACTCTGATCATTGCTTGTCGTGTAGTGTAGAGATTAGGAACCTTTCATTTTCAATCGATTTTCTTGACGTGGCTGTTGAGTTCGACGGGAACTCATCCCTACCCTAGGCTAAAAATATCCATGGAACGAGATTGCAACATCATACCTAGAATGATTGAGACAAAAGTATTAGGAATCCTACGATTTGCATTGAATTGTAAATTGAAATCAAAATCTTTTGGCTTGCCATTAAATCCCAATCCTAAAATTTGTAAAATCGACACGATTGAGGTGGCGGTTAAATCAATCTCGTTAGATAAATGAAAACTTTAATATCATATTTTCTGCCGTTTTCTCTTTTGCACGTGGCTATTTAACATAAGTGGAGGCTGCATGTGTGCTTGTTGATGCTCGCTCGTGCAATGTGGATGCATTTTGCAGTCTAAGAGTTGTATCTTTTGGAAACCATCAATCTATCGAGATTTTCCGCACAAATACGACAGTCAACAGTTCCCTGTTTTTCTTGTCAAATGAAGCCGAAATTCAACGTCGATGTGATGGCTCTGCCTTTGGCTTATGAAATCGATTTACAAAATGAGCTAATACACTTTGATTTCAAAGCTGTTTATCTCTGACTTATTTGTCTAGCCACATGTTGTGCACGCATATCTAGGCGAACGTCAAACTCGCCATGGACCACAAGACACGTGCATGCATGAATCCAAACACCCGCTGATTCCTACAACAAAAAATCGTTTTAAGGTGTGAAAAGGTTGATTCGCGAATCGCTATACCAAACAAACAAGAAGTGGGTACGATTGCACACAAGCCCTTGAAATCCTTTGACTGTATAAAAAAGGTTGGATCTGCCTCCGGGTCCTGGCACCAACAGTGCAGACAAGCAATGATATAACCAAGAAACTTGGAAACTGTACTGTATCTGCTACAGTTGGACTCCCGATCTAGAAATGTTGTCACAGATTCCATTCTACCCAGTTCATTTGGTTTCCGGTTTCTTGCTTCTTCAGAGCTGAAGATCCCTTTCCCTGTAGTTTAAAAGCCTTTTGGAAACACATAACCAAGAAAATTACAAGGAGAAAGCTTCTTTGCAACATTAATCACAGGGCTAGCCAAAATCTCTCTGTGTGAGAGAGAGAGAGAGAAAGGTGTATTGAAAGTTTGTCACTAGTCATGCTAGAGTTCAGTGTCCTCATCTTTACGTGGCTTCAACAGTCTGATCAGAGCGGTCGACATCGAGGCAAAAGTAGGCAGGGCAGAAGGAAAAACTGTTTCTTTTTAAAGCAGATCGCATCATCGGGAGGAGCTTCTAATCTATGAACTTCTCGTGGGAAGATGCCAATATCGGTGGAACTTTTTGCGTTCTATTCACGTTGTGGGAGCACTATGTATTTTGTATCTTCTTTCTTGATAGTTTGGTTTAGTGGACAAAGTGAAGGCCTCCACAGGAAAGTAAAGGGTACTTCACAGAACAAGCTTGGTGTATCTCAAAAGATGATCTTTGACTTCTTTGTCACCATCTGCAAGGTGATCTTCCTACCTCAAACCGTTGATTAACGGGGACAGAAAGCTAGAAGTACAGTTCTCTTTCAAATAAAAGGTCAAATGTGTCTCCCATTGGATATTCTGACTGATTATGTAAACTTGCTTCAATCAATCTGGCGGTTCTCATTGTCTCAATTAGCACCGCTGTATTAGATGCGATAGGATTTTCCTTGGTCAATTCAGGCTATTCAGCTTCAATGAACAGGGCGAAACATAAATAAGAGGGCGACCAATGAAAAAGGAAAGAGGGTATATTCTGAAATTCCCTGGCTTTTGTCATTGTCTCTCTGTCTTGCTCATCACTAGATTGTTCTTTTTCTGCCCAAAAACAGAGTCTCTATGCAGTGCAGATCCAAATTTCGCTAAGTCTGAGCCGTGTCTTTCTTTTTTTAACCTTCAGGGAAGGCCTTGCTGATGCATTTCGGTCTCTGGAGGTCTAATCTGCTGCTGCTGCTCTTTCTTTTTCCTTCTTGGCAAGTTTGAATTCGCCGTAAAAATACGAAGCGAAGCCCCAGAGTGAGAGGGCGAGGGACACGCCTTTCCCTGCCTGGAACTTCTCCTGGAAGATTATGACAGCTAGGATCTCAATGACCGGGAGAAGAACGGCGATGATGATTCCTGAGAATAGAGAGGAGGCACAGAAGACGACTCCTATGGCTCCTAAGAATAAGAATTGATAGATGATCGCGTTCCACGCGAGCACCACATAATATGCGGCTTCTCCGAGCTCGTAGTTCCTTGCTTCTGTAGGAATCGCCTGCGTAAGCATGATGTCAGGAGCAACCTTATGTCATTCTGATCATAGTTTTTAGTTTTCCCGTTTCAGTGGTTTCTTAATTATAGAACTTCAATCGAAGGAGACTAAAGTATTGTTATTGTCTTACCATCCAAATATCATCCACTCCAGCAGATTCAAAAGATAATTGTAGGATAGTTTTATTAGAGCAATCGACCATAACTATTGATCATGGCAAAAGCTGTTAAAGTCTCGTAAAACCCCCGCAGGAGACTGAAAAAAACCAAGATTAAGAAACGTTTTGGTTTGAGTAATTCGATTTCTAAGAGGATATGATAGAGAGAGAAGATACTCGTATGTATATTGGTCATGAGTCGCATGCAATCATGCTCATTCCAATTTCTGGGAACCGCATGAAATCAACTTTGCAGGACCAATACCTTACCCTTACCAAAAAAAAAAAAAAAAAAAAAAAATCTTTGCAGGACCAATGATTGTGATGGAAACCTAACCCGTGTGGATGGGTCCAGGTTGAGAGAGAGAACCTGGAAGTCCTTGTTGATCAGCATGCCCACTGTGCAGAAAGCGGTGGCGAAGAAGCACATCACCAACTGAATCTCCAAGACCAGCGAGTAAGTGACCGCCTTCTTGGCTTTCTTGTACGTCAGCTCCACCAGCGGCAGTATGAACCCGTACAGCGCCGCTGCCCCAAGCGTCATGAAGAACCCAGCGTAGTACGCCCCGTCCGACTCCCCCGCCGGCCGTTCGCTGCTCGTTTGCATCGCCAGCACCCCCGCCGCGATAGTCAGCAGGAATATCGAGTTGATCGAGTACCATGTGAACCGCTGCTTCACCAGCAGGAACGCGAAGCCGGCTGTGAAGGCCAGCTGCGTCCCGACGAGCAGGGACGATGTTGAGACGGGGAGTTGAGCCACGCCGTAGGCGTAGAGGTAGTTGTCGAGGCCCATGAGGACCCCGATGACAGCCGAGGCGGCGAAGAGGAAGGGGTCCATGAGGACGAGGCGGGCGGAGGGGCCCTTGGTGGAGCGGCGGCGGAAGTAGGCTACCGCGAGTGGGAAAACGATGATCGGCCAGCCGCCCATTTCGAGCCAGCTGGAGAGCCACACGCGGGCGCCGCCGCGGACGAAGTAGAGGCGCAAGAGGAGTGGGCCGCCGCACGTGCCGACGGAGAGCATGGCGCAGTTGAGTGCGAGGAGGAGGCGCTTTGGGGTCTTGTCCTGGGGCGCTTCCATGGTTTCCCCCATGATCAAGCTCTCGCTCTCGCTCTCTCTCTCTATCTCTCCCATCCCTTGGGATTGTTTCCAGACAATCCTTCCCAAAGATTTATGAATCGTCTCTAGTCAATATTTAATGAAGTTTGGTGAACAAATCGTCCAAATTACTTTTAACTATTTTCATTTCATCCGAAAGTCAAAGCTTTCAAATCGTTTAATTATTTACATTTGTTTTCGTATTGGTTTCAAAGAACTAGACGATAGAGAGGGAGAGAGAGCTCGTTTTGTTTTGATATGGGCAGGTGCAAATCATTCAGACAGCAGGTATCCGAATTCTAAATAGAGAATTTATGCAACTTGGTCCTTTCCCATGTGCCCGAATCCGCTGTTAATCAAGAGAATTCATATGGTTGCTGTTACTATAATCATTCGTTTTTGGTGCATAATAAAAAACCACAAGGAAACATGATTCTTGGAGACGCAGCCGACCGAACCAATTCTCCAGAGAAATATCAGAGAAAGAGAAGTTTGCTTCCTGTTAGGGGGAACTTGCTGATTATTTTAGCTCGTGGAGCATTTTGGTTTTATCGGCAAGAAAGAAGGGAGAGTTACTCTTACCTTACCAAAAAAAAAAAAAAAAAAGAAGGGAGAGTTACGTGGGTCCATTCCATTCTTTGATTCATATAAGTGCAGCTTTGACTTTCTTTAGCAAAAAATGTACAGAGAAGCTTTCTCCTTTCCACTTGGCTATCTAACATGAGCGGAGGAGGCTGCAACTTTACCTGTTATTGCGCTTGCTCGCGCAGTCTATGAGATGTATGATTGGAAACCATCAATTTATCAAGAATGACCCCACGACTACCACAATCAACAATCTCTTATTTTTGTCGCAAATGAAAAATGCAGAAGAAATTTGATATCGATGTCATGTCTGATGAAAGCACATGAAGATAGGATCATTGCCTATTATAACATAGTCCTTTACATGGAAAGATTACGGATGAGATGATGCATTTTCAAAGAAGTTAGCTGAGAAAGTGTCGTTCTAGAAATTCTGCCGTATCTGCGACAATTGGACTCCCGATCTAGACATGTTGTCACAGATTCCATCCTCTACCCAGTTCATTTGGTTTCCGGTTTCTTGCTTCTTCAGAGCTGAAGATGCCTTCCCCTGTAGTTTAAAAAGCCTTTTGAGAAACGTATAACCGAGGAAATTGCGAGGAGAAAGCTTCTTCGTGACATTAGTTTTGGGGCCAGCCAAAATCTCTTTGTGATGACAGTTACAACAAGAGCAGGATAGAATTCAATTACAAATTCAAGTGTGATGAATATTTGCCCTTGCTGCTGTGGGAGAGAAAGGTAAAATTTGAAGATCGTTGCACTCATCTTCGCGTGGCTTCAACAGTCAATTTAGAGCTGTCGTCATCGAGACAAAGTTAGGCACAGCAGAAAAAAAACTGCTGCTTTTCCTAAGCAGAGAGGATCATCGAGATCCTCGCATAACCATAAAGGAGCACCTAATCGATGAATTCCTCGCTGTGAAACTATATTGTGTCGTATTCACTTTGTGGGAGCACTTTGTATTTTGTATTTTCTTTCTCGATAGTTTGGTTTGATGAACAAAGTGAAGGCCTCCACGTGAAAGTAAAGGGTAGTTCAAAGAACAAGTTTGGTGGATCTCAAAAAGATGATCTCTGACTTCTTTGTCACCATCCTGCAAGTTGATCTCCCTTATCTTTGATGGTGTTAACAGGGCCAGAAAGCTAGAAGTACAGTACTCTTTTTAATAAGAAGTCACCAGTAATGCGTCTTGCATTGGATTATCTGATTGATTATGTGAACTTATCTGTTGATCAGCTGCTTCAATCAGTCTGGCGATTCCATGTCCTTGTCTCAATTTTTTCTTTTTTTGGTCGAACCTTGTCTCGATTAACATGACTGTATTAGATGCGATAAGATTCTCTTTGGGTCGCTTCAGGCCACTCAGCTTCGATGAACAGGGAGAAGCATAAACAAGAGGGCGAACGAATGATAAAGTAAAGAGGGTAAATTCCGAATCTCCCTGGCTTTTGTTATTGTCTCCCTGGCTCGCTCATCACTAGATTTGTTCTTTTCCTGCCCAAAACAGAGTCTGTACATAGTATAGCTCCAAATTTTGGTGTCGGATGTATTAGACAATCAAACGTACAACATGACATTATAGCATGCATCTATGCAGCAACACAAGTCTTCAATTACAACTTTTTTTACCAGGTTCAATTACATTTACAACTGACAGTTCCGTTTTTTTTTCCCTTTAACTCACTCTTTTTCTTGAATGGACCTTTAATTCTTTTGCCTTGCGTTGTTACAAATCCAACCGCCAAAGACAGTAAAGGAAGGCTAGATTAGTTCTGCTGCGATGCAGATTGCGAGTAGCAGCGCTATGGGACAGAATTAAGACATACTACAACAGTAGCCTAAGGATAAGCCATATCTTTCACTTCTTCACCTTCAAGGAAGGCCTTGTTGACGCGCTTCGGTCTCTTGCTGCTGCTGCCGTTGCTTCTTTTCCTTCTTTGCATGTTTGAATTCGCCGTAGAAGTACGAGGCGAAGCCCCAGAGAGAGAGGGCCAGGGACACGCCCTTCTCCGCCTGGAACTTCTCCTGGAAGCATATGACGGCTAGGATCTCAGTGACCGGGAGAAGAACGGCGATGACGATTCCCGAGAACAGGGAGGAGGAATAGAAGACGACTCCTATGGCTCCCAAGAAGAAGAATTGCCAGATGATCGCATTCCACACGAGCACCACGTAGTACCGGGCTTCTCCGAGCTCGAAGTTCCTTGCTTCTCTACAAATCGCCTGCGCAACGACGAGGTCAGTGAGCAACCTCAGAGGGCTCATCGCTGAAAACCAGGGAAAAGAAGAGGAGGATTCTATGATTGCTGCTTGCCCGGGACCCGCAATACATCATAGTCACCATCTAAATGTGCTCAGTGGAATCAAACCTATGATGTAATGTTGGAAAATGAAGACGGAGACAGCGACCTCACGAAGCCATTGATATTTAAGCCAGCGTATTGTTATTGTCATATCAGGTTGGAGAAGTACAATAACGACAAGGTAGTCCCTGTCTTTCTATCGTGCCCATCTTGCTTGATTCAAAATATAAATTTTAAAACTTAAATTCATATATAATTTTTTTGCACACTTTTTTTGACATATGGATAGATAGAAAAGTAAAAGGTTTGGTCAAACATGAACAAACATCATTGGAAACTGAATTTTTTATCGCTGACCTTTTGAAGCCTCCAAATTTAGCGATCGATTTCTCATGTAAATATGAGCTGGACCCTGAAAACTTAAACCTGAACCGCATAAGGCGGAGACCGAAACAAGCGGAACCCATGAACAACATGATCTGGTCCATATGAAGCTGATTCATCAGATCAGAAATACCGATTTCTAAGACGAAAATGATGGAGAGAGAAAACACTTGTCATGGCCATGGATCATATGCAAACAAGGTCATTCCCGGTTCGTGGAAACTACATAGATTGTGATCAACCTAAGAGGACTGTTCGAGGTTGAAAGAGAAAGAGAAAGAACCTGGAAGTCCTTGTTGACCAGCATGCCGATGGTGCAGAAAGCGGTGGCGAAGAAGCACATCACCAGCTGCATCTCCAAGACCAGCGAGTAAGTGATCGCCTGCTTGGCCTTCTTGTACGTCAGCTCCACCAGCGGCAGTATGAACCCGTACAGCGCCGCCGCCCCGAGCGTCATGACGAACCCCGCGTAGTACTGCCGGTTCGACTCCCCCTCTGGCCGGTCACTACTCGTGTGCATGGCCAGCACCCCCGCCCCAATCGTCAGCAGGAATACCGAGTTGATCGAGTACGACGTGAACAGCTGCCTCACCAGCAGGAACGCGAACCCGGCCGTGAAGGCCAGCTGCGGCGCAATGAGCAGGGCTGATGTCGAGACGGGGAGCCGCGCCACGCCGTATGCGTAGAGGTAGTTGTCGAGGCCTGTGAGTACCCCGATGATGGCCGAGGCGACGAAGAGGAAGGGGTCCATGAGGACGAGGCGGGTGGAGGGGCCCTCGGCGGCGTGCCGGCGGGAGTAGGCCACCGCGAGGGGGACGAAGATGATCGGCCAGCCACCCGTCTCGAGCCAGCTGGAGAGCCACACGCGGGCCCCGCCATGGACGAAGTAGAGGCGCATGAGGAGCGGGCCGCCGCACGTGCCGAGGGAGAGCATGGCGCAGTTGAGCACGAGGAGGAGGAGCTTTAGGGTTTTGCCCCGGGGGGCTTCCATGGTTTCCCCCATGACAAAGAGCTCAAGCTCTTCCTTTCACCCTGATCCCTTGAGATTGTTTCTTAGTTAAAATTTCTGTCTACCAAAAAAACGAAAGTAGAAAGAAAAGGAACAAAGACCATCAAGTGTACGAGGGATGATCAGGCGAGGAAAGCAATGGTTGAGAAGCGTGCCTGGAAAAGAAGTGAGGAGGAGATAAGCGGTCGGATGAGTTCGTTTGTTGTTGTCTATCTGTTCGCCTCTTGCAATGCAATGGCGATGCAACGGGGCGGTTGGTGGTAAAAATTGATTGTCTAATCATGTGTGTCAGAGATACTTAGAATAATTCCATAGAATGTTTTCTTATATAAGAGAGAATTAGAATATTTATGTTAGTTTTCTATATCCCTCAAAATTGCACGTATATCTCTCTTAATTGTGTATATCTTAATTGATATATGTTACCATAGATAGTCATATATCGAAATATACAGGAATTTCTCAAGTCTATTTTCCGCGTTATTCATATCTCTATGTTAAGCGAGTTTGTCACGTGTGACTAGGTGGAAAAATCCATAGTGCGCCCCTAAATTGGTGTTTGCACAAAGCGAAAACTATACATTCCACTACCGCTTTTTATATTGTAATTGATTGTATAAATCATGTCGTGGATGAAATGAGTAGAATGCATTTCCTTAGTTGGTTGAGTAATTTCAAGCGCAATTCCAATCTGCTGATTGTGAGATGAAGATTTGGAAGGAGACTGACGGGACATGCCCGGGCGGGTGTTCTAAGGCCCTAAGTGAATGATTGTCTAAGTTATGACAATGTACTATTGTATATTACTGTCATTCAATGGTCAAGATTTGTCAAATAGCCAAATTTTTTTTTCATCAAATCCGTATCATCCGACAGTTGATGATGTATGGTACACTATTGTATTGTGGAAGCGTCCCCTTCGATACACATCGAGCGCGTTACCTGTTGTATTAGCCTCCATGGTAGCGTTCATCCAAGGCGTCTCATGTAAGAGCAAGTGTATCCTAAATGAGGATTGCTTTAGGTACCACATATCAGACATTGTGGCATTGGTGCCAAAGGCATGTCTAGCAGCCACTAGCAATGTCCATGATTAAGAGTTTTATTCAAGCAAGGCCATCGACGAGAGAACCGGATCCATTGGGAGTGGAACACCAATCAATGACGGTGTTGTCAAAATTGGGATGCATTAGATTAGTACGAGGGCCCGGTTGAAGGATTATTAAATACGAAGATTAAAGGTGAACATGTAAATCATTATTAATTGTTGGCTCTTCCTGTGAATAAAGTTTTACATGTCATGAAAATTATAGGTAAACAGGTAAATCATTACTAATTAATGACTCTTCCTGTGAATGAAGTCTATACATGTCATGTTTTCACATTGAATACTCATAGTTCCAATTAAAATATTCTAAGCTACTTGAAGAAATTTGGGGTGACGGGTTTCTCTTCAATTTTTTACGGGTTAATACCGCAAAAAAAAAATCCCAAACTAAGATACACCCGCGCTCACATTTCGGCTTGGACTGCTCATGAATTAACTTTCGTGTCACATAATAACTAAAACTAGCATACCCGTGACATATCTACTCCCAAACGATATCAACCTTTTTTCGGGGAAAAAAAAAATATCTTCGGCACTATCTCATGGAAATCGAAATCCACAGCATCCCCGACTAACCGTCCACCACAGCCAACTGAAGCTACAATCAGAAAAGCGAACGGGTAAAACGAAGAAAAGAGACAAGCACGTGAGAACAAAAACACTCATTTCAAGGAGATGATAAGTATGTATCGAAGACTAAAAAAGTGACGTGCCGTTCCACGAAAGTAAAACTAAGGAAGAGCCGTTTCTTTGTGCTTGGGGCGACGCTTGCGTTCCGTATAACGGGAGTCGTTTTCGTGGAGAAAACATCAAAATCACAGCTGGGTTTGACTGTGCCGAGAACGATATCTTAAAGCCATTTTCCTTAATTGTTTTCAATGGTCGCCTTAGTCGAATGATCGATGTTCGGATTCGCATTTTCGGACAGACTTGATTAGCCCGGTTCCGTGTGGGCTTATGCTGGGGACAATGCGTACACGCTGTGTCATCTGCACAAGGAAACGGGACAAGAATTTTCAGATTATCGCAACGAGAATGTATGTTTTGATCACTTGAAATCCGGAAAAGAACCAGTAAAATATGTTCCGTCGTTTGGAAAGTTAAATCTAATTTTCCTATATATATACTATTCGGGCGCTGATGACCTGCGCACGGGCATCAAAATCCCGAGCTTTGGCTTCGATGGACTCGAGCTAAGGTGCGGGGGATGCGAGCATAGGCAACCAGCATCGGGACTAGGGCACGAGCATCAGGGTCCCGAGCCTTGGCCTTGATGGACTCGGGCACGGGCACCGAGGACCCAAGCTTGAGCACTGGGGACCTAGGGAAATCCGGGCATGGGTACTGGGGCACATTGGGCCTTTGTCAACTAGGGCCTAGCCTCAATAGATCCAAGCCAATGCCTAGGACCCAAGCATGGGCACTGGAGTCCCAGGCCCGGCCTTGATGGACTCGGACACAGGCACTGGGGACCCGGGTCTGGGCGTTGGGGAACCGAGCGCATGCGCTGGAACAACCTTGAAAGAATCTATCTATGATCACAAGTAGCTATTGTCCAGTCCCACAATTAGCCAGGAAAATAAGTTTTCGCCAGGACCATTAGCTAAGGCCTTGGAACATGTCAAATAAGTTAAATCTTGATAACGATAGCCAGGAAAATAAGTTTTCGCCAGGACCATTAGCTAAGGCCTTGGAACATGTCAAATAAGTTAAATCTTGATAACGAAATCGCTAGAGTTCGCACCTAGATTACGGCCACCTTGATAGGGAAAAAAATAAATGTAATGACACCACAAGTATTTGAATTGTTCATTTTATAATTGAGTACCTAAATTTATTTTTTGTTCAATCAAATATCTCAACTTCTCAATCTAGCTCAACATGAGGCATCCGATGAATAAATTGCCATATCATATGATTTTACTATTATTACTCACTTATTCAGCAAAAATTAAGCACAATTGATAACGTGGCTCGCTTACTCAAAGACGGATTATGTCATTTTCATTTAGGTGTTGCGTGATGAAGGGAGAGAGAGTGTGTGTGTTGATTTTAGCGATATTAGTTATCCAATATGTCTCTGCTGACGTGACATCATTTCAAGAGGCTATATCAAATGACAATAAGAACAAATCATGACTATTTAACAACGTTAGTGCCATGTTGGCATTTTCCCTTCGCAATCTTAAGGGAGGGCTCACATTGAACTAAATTTGAAAAGTTGAGGTACTTGATTGAAAAATAGAAAGTTTAAGTACTAGATTGTAAAACGCACTCAAATACTTGCCGTTTCATTACAAAAAACCTCTATGACCGTTGGAACATGGAGGAAAGTATTCCATCCTCCATATAACCGCTTCATAACATAAATGCCAAGAGAATAGATGCCGAGGATGTTCGTTTGCGTAATTGCATGCTCATTAGGCCTAGACTCGTAAGCACTTATCTTTTGATTTGGCCCTTTGGATGATTTGCCCTTATAAGGCATTCAGATCACTAATTCAGGCCCACGAGACGCATTCTAGTTCTAGCCCCAAATTGGGGCCTAAAAGGATGATATGAGGGCTAGTATTAGAAATGCGTAATTAATGCGGGCGGTAGGTAGGTTGGAAAGTCCCATGATTTTCCAGCCAAATTGGATGACATTGCGAACAAATCATACAAGAGTGAATAAGTTCGAAGCGGTTGTGGTAAGTTATGTAAATAAAAGTTGGTAAATTGGTGCAAAAATTGCTCATCGTAAAATGTAAAGGGTTGATAATTTCATAGAAGTGTTGGTAAGTTATCAACAAATTACGTGAAAAAGATTCGCAAATCTTTTTTTTTTATCACAAAATTTTGACACTTAGCAACACTTATAGAAATTTAACACCACAAAAGAGAAATATGTATTTTGGAGGCATAGGATGGTATAATTATGCTAGGTTATAGGATATTTGCATTTGTAATTTGAAGGGATTGATTATGTGTGGAGATCCTTTCCCCTCATTTGTATCTTTTGACGCTTGGAGCAATATAAAGCATCCTCCCACAAATGCTCTCCCTATAGAGTTCGTCTATACGATCCGGACGAGAGAGTGAGCCAGCGAGCGAAGCTGAGATTAGATGACTCAATTAAATGTTGAATAAGTCAAGAGGAGCCTATGTGTTCATAGCGCAGCCATGGCCACAAGTGCTAGCTCGTGACATTCGTAGCTAGAGCTGACAATTTGTGTTTTAACATCATAATTGTGTCATGTTGAATTTATGTGACACCCGAATAGAATATGTTTCAAATTGCATCATAAGTTGGAAATCCAAAGGTGATACACTTATTAAGCATGTTAAAAGTTGTAGACTTGGAACAGCTTATTAATTAAGAAATGGATTCTCATATATGAACATCCGAAATAGGTTTTGATCATTGTCATCAATCCAAAGAAAATGTACAATGAATGAGCACAAATCCAATAGAAAACGATTATAACAAAAAGAGGATGATTGCCCATGCTCAAGTCACATTAAACTTTCTGTGCATGGCAAAAATACAATTCAACGTTTAATTGAGTCACAAAACAAAAATACAATTCAATCCAGTCCAATCCGCAACCGGAAAGAATGAACACACACACAACGACAGATACGATCACTTGACCACAAAAACAAGGTGTCACAAGCTCGTGACCACCAAGAAAATCTCGATGCGGTGCACGGTTCAGGGCCAGACCGAGTTTCGCAGACTCAGTAGCTGCTGTTACGTACTGGACCGTCATGGCACGAACCACCGGTCGGCGCAGGTTCGCAAGAAGCTTGAGCCCCAGCAGCAACAACACCAACACCAGAACCGGTTACGGCACCACCCGCTGCATGAATTTCCACGACGTCCTCTATATCGATTGTCGCTGACTGTTCTCCGCACGGACCGGTTGTTATAACCTCGTGGACTACTTCGTGTTCCTCCACATCTACGCAAGCAGCGGCTGCTGCTCCAGGGACCAACACCGGCTTCTTCTTCTTCTTTGCCAAACAGAAGAGCCCCAGTGCGAGGAACGCCAGAATGAAGACGCCACCTAGCGACACGCATACCGCGATCACAGTGGTGTGGTTCCCCCCTCCAGAGGAAGGAGGTGGTGGAGGAAGAGCCGAGGATGATGGGGTTAGTGATCTTTGTGGCGGTGGCACACCGTAGATGGGCGGTGTGAACACATTATTTGGAGCAGGCGCGAGATAAGATGGGGGTGGCTTGTTGTAGGGTGGTGATACTTTTGGGGGTGATGATCGTGGTGGTTGACTTGAACTCTTAGCGGGGCCTGGTGCACTTGCCGGCTTTGTCGGCGGTTGGCCGATTGGAGAAGTGGGAGAGGTGGCCTGTGGTGATAGCGGCGGTTGTGAGCCAGGGTTCGGTGTTGGTACTCGAGGTGGAGTCAAATGAGATGGTGGTGGAACAGGACTGTTGGCGGAAGGAGTTGGGGTTGGGGGCGACGTGAGATTAGGTGGTGGTGCTGAGCCGGGGCTCGGAGGTGGATAGGATGGCATGGGAGTCGGAGCTCTGCTTGAGTGCGGCGGCGGAATTTCATGTGGTGGTGGCTTATATGGAGAGGAAGGTGCTGGAGGCGGTGCTGGATTTGATGGTGGTGGCTCATGGTGGTTTTTGGGTGGCGATGTTGGTGGGGGTGACGTTGGATGGTTATGGTGTTGAGGAGGGGGAGGGCTGTGATAGACATGATGATTCGGTGATGGCGGAGGCGGTACCGGGTGGTAGTGTGGTGGAGGTGATGACCACGACGGCGGCGATGGTTTCGGCGGGTGAACATAATGGGGATTAGGCGGAGGAGGTGGACTGCCAAAATCACACGCTGGAGTTGGTGGCGGCGGCGGCGGCGGGGCAAAGTCGCAAGCGGGAGGCGGCGGCGGAGGAGAGTAGTACGGATAGCCCATATTGTGACGGTACAGAGTGATAAAAGAATATGCTCTTTCACTTCTATCAACAAGTGCAATAAGAAAGGATGTGGGCAATCAATGAGAGAAATGGACATTATATAGAATCATAGATACACATGAAACTATAGATTAACTATTAGATCTTAAACTGTTTCAAAGTTGTCGAATAATATTCAACGAGGGATTACGGTTTTTTTCTAAGTTTCGTACTCCCCATTAGGAAATAAAATTGGAATTCGTTCCAACGAATCGACACGCTAGGACATTAGAAAAATCCCATGAATCATTGTGGGGGTTGGTGTCATAATATGGTCTCCACTGCACCCACAACGCATGAGCACGTGTTATGTTCGATTATCCGAGCATAGCTCCTTCCTTTATCTCGGTCAGAAATCCCCTTTTCATATTCAACGAAGAATAAAGCGTGCTTGGGAAATCCCAATAGCAGGAACCTACCGATTTGAAAATTGGACACTCGTTATCCAAAATCGAAACACGCCAAACCAAAGTGCGAGTGGTTGCGATCTTGTTTTTATTGTCGAGGGGGCGAGGATGCGACCAAGAAGCTGTTCGTTGAAGCCCTCGATGATGTCCGCACGTGATTAAAGAGAGAAGAAGAAGGTCAGAAGAAACTTCAGCATGTTTCACTGGGAGAAGAGGCTGACAGGAGGGCTGACATTTGCTTGCATTTATTCACTGAAGTCCATGCACATTTAAGGCCTAATAAATCAGAAATCAGCAACAGACTTGCTCCTGTAAAAGAACCATCATAAATGTGTTCAAATGCACGAAGAATTGTGACGTGGAGTAATTAATATGTCCTTATTAGCTCATAACTCATTAATTTAAATTTTCAAGCGGAAAATAGTCTAATTAGATATATTGACAGTTTTGAACTTAAACTCTTTCTTGACGATCTCTATGGGTAAAGGTATCGATCGACCTTTTTGATCGGTCGATCCTCGTGGTCAAGACTAATACGATTGCGGACCAAAATTTTGGAGAAGGTAAACATCCAGACTTCGAAGGGATTAATGGAGAACTGTCACATGTTTACTGGCGGCGGCATTAGCATGATGAGAGTCAAGTGTAGGACCCGGAAAAAGATGGAAGACAGCGCTTGCACAAGTTGTCCACGTCCACGGCTCCCGAGCGAGAGGTCAACGAAGATGGCGAGACCAATGATGGGTGAAATGGGAAGGGAATCATTGGCAACTCGACGAGCTGGCAACCTCTTCAGAGCTTAGGAAAAATCAACCGCCTAATCTGACAAATCATTGCATACATTCCTGTCGGATTATAGACTTTGTAGTGAGACTTGCCTTGCCTTGCGTGTCCAATTTGGACAGAAATTGAGAAGAAATGAGCCCTGAAGCTAAACCTTCTCATTTGCTTTCCTTATTGCGTGTTGCTGTTCGTTCAAAGTGAGGAGATTAATCCCAACACGTTAGATGACACAAAGAATCCGAAGCGGAATATCCAAAGATAGGAAACACAAAGAGTTAAAAGGTCCGGATATCTGGAAGATCATGAACAGCCAACAAGTCAAATGAACTGGTGGGATTCGAACGGGTAATCTCCAATTCCAGAGCTGTATATCTCCCGATGGTTCTAGCAAAAAATCCCCCAACGACCTTTCGCCAATTCTTATAATCTTTTATCTATGCAGACTTTGTCTCCATAAAATGTTAAATATTGTCGTAGGTTGAATGCTATAAGCACCTTTTTGAACACTATCTTGTGGAATCAAACCCCTTAAGTTACACCACCAACTTGTTGGCCTCATCTATGAACTTACGAGTTCGATTTAACTCATGAGCGAACCTCTAAACATTCATGCTGAGATGCCCAAGCCACGGCATACCTAAGGTAGAGAGATTTCTGGCTGCTAGAATCTTGGAGGAGTTGCGGTGAATAATGCAGAGTAATTATCACTGAAATTGAATATTCCATAATTGGTGTGCGTCATAGGTGGTGCGGAGATGCTAGCATTGGTCACCTCTATCCATCCTTTTATTTGAAAAAAAATATCCTTTAAATTACGAGTAAGCTATATATTGTCGTATCTTGGAATTACGAATGTAATATTGTGATGGATCATCAAAGTTTGGAGGAAGTAAATTAACTCATCTTATGCACGTAAAGTCATGTCACATCATGGAACAAGACAAAAGGACGGTACGAAATTAAACGAGTCGATTATAAGTTCCAAGATGAACATGAACTGGACTCTCAGTTTGAATGCAACTAAAGGAGCAAGATAAACACGATTATTCTTTAGAATACCTGATGTTTAGCTCTTGACCACCACCATTTGCCGCGACGCCTTGGTTGAATGTCTCTTCATTGTACCTAACTGATTAAGAGAAAAATCCACATTTTTAGATGGAAAGAAAATCAAGGAAAGAGAGTAGAAATAGGGAAGCTAACCCCCTTTAGTACGACAGCACGAGCAGATATCGAGTTTATGGCATTCTGGGGTTGTTCGACATCATTTTCAACGTGGAAAATTTGTATCTTGGTAGATTTGTTACCCGTTGTTGACACTTATAATTAAAAAAAATTTTTATGACCCAGGGAACCCCCGCACGGCTGACAGTCAGGAGGTAAACCCTGGGGGCGACACGTGCTAGCCACCACACACGTGCACCGGTTAAGTCACCCTGCGGCACCCGGAATTAATTACGTTATCGATAATTGAAATAAATAAATAATAGACGTCAAAAGATGACGTAGTCCGTACGAGACGGCTCACGCAAGCAAAACAGCTAGCAAGCACTGGCAGACACCGGCAGGAAATTTGAAATTCAGAAGAGAACTGGCGAGCGAACGCCAAAGTTATCAAGGGAAATTGTCATCGAGGCCGTCGACAAGGAAAATGACAGGTGTCAAGTTAGGAAGAGCTCAACAGAGGTCCTTGCTTTGGAAAGACAGGTGTCGAGCCAGGAAAAGCTCGACGAAGGTCCCTGCTTTGGAAGGACAGGTATCAAGCCATGAAGAACTCAATGACGGTTCCTGCTTCGAAACGACAGATGTCAATCCGGAAAAAGCTCGAAGACGGTTATTTCCCCAGGAAGGATAGGTGTCAAAATGAGAAGAACTCGATGACGGTTATTTCCCCGAGAAAGACAGGTGTTAGAATAAGAAAAGCTCGATAACAGTTATCTTCCTGGGAAGGACAGGTGTCAGAATGAGAAAAGTTCGATAACAGTTATCATCTTAGGAATGACAGATGTCAAAATAATGTGAGTTCGACGGCGGTTATCACCTCAGACAAAATGATAAGATCGATAGCGGTTGGCGGACAGATGTCATTAGATAAACGGTGAAGATGAGATCAACGGTGATTATCGAACCCGATGTCAAAGACGGTTACCGAGCCTACATTATAAATAGCACCCAGCTGCCACAGGAAGCCCCCCGCTCGCATACAAACCAAAATGCTGTCTTTTTATCTTTACTTGCCAGTATCGCACCTTTAGTTTCCGTCGCTATAGCTGTTTATTTTCCAAGTCAGTAACTTTGTAATATCGTGTCGACGAGCTTTGTACACCGCCAGTAATTGGACTGATTCGTCCGAGTCCTCTATAAATTCAAGTCAAATTTCATCATTGTATGAAACTTGTGTTATCAACCAAGACAATCAGGTTCTTTGCTCACGCTTGGATTGCTCCTGTCCGGAATTAGATCTAGAACCCAGTCTCATCTAATAAAAAATCAAAGAATGACTTTCGGTGAATTATTTTTCGTCGCGGGAACTATTTCCGGCGAAACACACGTATAGTTTTAATTTGTGTGATGCGGGTCATGTGATGGTGAGTATCGTCCGGCCAATTAGATTCTTTTGACTGGTGAAAATAGTATTGACGAAGTTTCATGGCAAATACAAGTGCATGAACGATAATCTTGTTTTGATTACGGGAAGAGTAATGCTACCCATATTCAAAGTCGTGCTATTTGTAAGTGCAACAGCTCTTTGTACTTCCGTTCTTATGAGTTCCTGATGGATCCATCCAGCTATGTAAGCATGGATCTACTCAACGCTGTTCAATTTCCCAAATCAAAGTTAATCACTTGTCATTTGGTCAAACACCTCATCACATTCAATAACACCAGCCTTTTGAGTAGAATCAGAAGCAGGAGTTCTAGGAGGACGTCTTTTGCCGGTAGATTATCGGTTGCAACTTGGTTCCTCACTTCATTATTGATCATCATCAAGCGTCATTACTAACGCTATCATCTAGGCAAATCAGAAGCTGAATTAGAGAGAAGTACCTTGTCTTAAGGAAGTATAGATTATATGTTCAAGGACTTTATAAGACATTACATCACCTTAATGGCCATTACTTTTCAAGAACTGAAACGTGTGATGAGATCATGCTAAATGCCCACATGAGATTATCTGATCTATGATAGGGAAAGGGCTGTCCAATAACCGGTACATGATACTCACTTTATTAAGCGTGTAATTCTTCAACTACATCCGTGGGGGTTTATTATCCACGACACGTTATCCTCGCACGCCATACTGTTAGAAATTAAACCAAATTTGTTGATACTTGTTTCCTTTTTTGAGTCTATTCGTATTTTCATATTTTGATTTTTCGTGTTTTTAGGTGCTAATTATAGTTTGAGCCCGAAAGAGGAAAGTTTCCTAAGTCAATTAGATTTCCTATTTTGAATAGGTTTCCTAATTGAATGGTTTCCTAATCGGAGTAGGTTTCCTAATTAGAATAGGTTTCCTAGAAAGAGGTTTCCTATTTCGAATCAAACTATGGCCTATATATAGTCTATTTCTCTTGTAATTGAGACATGCAATAGAAAGGCGCGAATTGCGATCGTTTCACCTTCAAAAATTTCTTCCATCAAATCAATATTGTTGCCGGGCCTCTGACGCTCAACAAATTGGTATCAGAGCTTACGGTTCGTGATCATGGCCTCAACGAACAATCAGCTTCCTCTTCAATACCCTTGTCTTACCAAAGAAAATTATGGTAACTGGGCTGTTAGAATGAAAGCTCTACTCGGCACCTACGGTGTGTGGGAACTTGTTAACACCGGCTATGATGAGCCAGAGGATGAAGCCACGTTGAACCAGAACCAGAGGAATGCTTTGGAGAAGGTTCGAACGAAAGATCAATATGCCCTGTCGATCATCTATCAAGCGTTAGATGATTCCATGTTCGAAAAAGTTTCGAACGCCACTACCGCTAAAGAGGCATGGGAGATTCTTCAAAACACACATCAAGGAGTTCAAAAAGTTCAGAAGATTCGCCTTCAAATCTTGAGAGGTGAATTCGAGGTAATTCATACGAAAGAATCTGAATCGATTGCTGATTATTTCACGAGAATTTTGGCAATTGTTAATCAGATAAAAAGAAACGGAGAAGACGTTTCCAATGTTCGTGTTGTTGAGAAAATACTTCGGTCCTTAGACAAGAAGTATGACCATATTGCGGTTGCAATCGAAGAATCCAAAGACTTGGATGCCATGACGGTCGATGAACTTATGGGTTCATTACAAGCCCATGAAGAAAGGTTTAGAAAGAAAAAGAATGAACCGGTGGAGGAAGTTCTCCAAACGCAATTGACCATTCGAGATGAGAAGGAGCAAAGAAGAGATCCCGTACAAAATCGCGGGACAAATCAAGATCGCGATCGAGGTCGTGGCCGAGGTCACTTTCGAGGAAGAGGTCGTGGACGAAGCAGAGGAGATCCTGCTCGAAGTGATGGAGGATACCAGTACCAAAGAGGTGTTCGTGGAAGAGGAAAGAACTCGACAAGCCAATGGTATGATATATCTAAAATCCGATGTTATCATTGCAATAAACTTGGCCATTATGCTTCTAACTGCTGGAACAAAGAAAGTAGCAGAGTAGACGAAAAAGCGAACTTGGTGAATGACGCTGATCAAGTTCTCTTATTGGCATTCAAAGAATATGAAGAAGGTCAAAGCGATACGTGGTATTTGGATACCGGCGCAAGCAATCACATGTGCGGGAGAAAGGAGATGTTTGCCGAGTTAGATGAGACAATTAAAGGGACTGTCTCATTCAGTGATAACTCTAAAATTCTTGTTGAAGGGAAAGGTACAATTTTGATTCGCTTAAAGAATGGTGCATGTCAGTTTATTACTAATGTTTATTATGTTACAAAAATGTCAAGTAATATATTGAGTTTGGGACAACTTCTGGAGAAAGGTTATACTGTTCATATGAGAGATCTTAATCTTATGTTGAGAGATCGGAATAATAAACTGATTGCAAATGTGAAGATGCCGAAGAATAGGATGTTTATTCTTAATATAAAGAGTGAGATGTCTCGATGTCTAAAGGCATGCGTAGATGATCCTTCATGGTTGTGGCATTTGAGGTTCGGCCATCTCAATTTTGGCGGACTCAATTTGCTTTCTCGCAAGAAGATGGTTTATGGCTTACCACATATTGATCATCCTGATCAATTATGTGAAGGGTGTGTTATCGGCAAGCATTCCAGAACTAGCTTTCCAAAGGAGGCGACTTATCGAGCGAAGAGGCCGCTTGAGTTGATTCATTCTGATTTGTGTGGCCCGATCAATCCTCACTCATATGGTAATCATCGATATTTTGTTACTTTTATTGATGATTTTACTCGAAAAACTTGGGTGTATTTTTTGAAAGAAAAGATAGAAGTGTTTGATACTTTCAAACAATTCAAGAACCTGACTGAAAAGGAAAGCGGCTATTTTATCAAGGCTTTGAGGACTGATCGTGGTGGAGAATTCACCTTAGCCATATTCAACAAATTCTGTGAAAATCATGGTATTCGGCGTTTCTTGACGGCCCCGTATTCTCCTCAACAAAACAGTGTGGCTGAACGGAAAAATAGAATCATTCTTGATATGGTTCGAAGCATGTTGAAGAGCAAAAATTTGTCAAAGGAACTTTGGGCTGAAGCTGTTTCGTGTGCCGTCTATCTTCAAAATAGATGTCCCACATATGGATTTGAAGGCGTAACTCCACAAGAGGCATGGACCGGAAGAACACCAAGTGTTTCGCACTTGAGAATTTTTGGGAGCATTGCCTATGCTCATGTCCCAGACCAAAAAAGATCGAAACTTGAAGACAAGAGCAAAAAGCTCATCTTTATCGGGTATGACTCATCATCCAAAGCCTATCGATTATTTGACCCTAGCACTTTGAAAGTGTATGTAAGTAGAGATGTCAAGTTCGATGAAGATGGAATGTGGGAAGAAAATCTAAAAGAAGAAGCGAATGTTCGTGGTGATTCCGATCAAACGGAGTTGAAGCATCAACCTTCACCTTCTTCTCCAACATCTTCTTCAAGTTCATCAACACCATCCTCTTCAAATAGTGTCGATGAACCGCTATTGCCAAGAGCGAGAAGATTGTCTAAAATTTACGAAGCTACCGAAGAGCTTCATCTTATATGTCTTCTTGCAGATTATGAACCACTTGCTTATGATGATGCGGCCAAAGAAGAAAAGTGGAGGAAAGCCATGAACGAAGAAATTGAAGCCATCGAGAAAAATCAAACATGGGAGCTTGCTAATCTTCCGAAGGACAAGAAATCAATTGGTGTTAAATGGGTGTACAAGGCCAAGAAGAATGAGAAAGGTGAAGTAACAAGGTACAAAGCTAGATTAGTCGCGAAGGGGTACAAGCAAAAAGCCGGAATCGACTATGATGAAGTTTTTGCCCCTGTCATCCGCATGGAAACGATTAGATTAATTATTTCCATTGCTGCTCAAAATAATTGGCGGATTTATCAAATAGATGTCAAATCAGCATTCTTGAATGGCATCCTTGAAGAAGAAATTTATATTGAACAACCCGAGGGGTTTGTTGTGAAAGGTTATGAAGGCAAAGTGCTAAGGTTGAAGAAAGCTCTATATGGGCTTAAACAAGCACCGAGAGCATGGAATTCCAGAATTGATGCATATTTCAAGGCGATTGAATTCTCTTAATGTCCATACGAGCATGCACTCTATTTGAAGCAAGAAAAAGGTGATATTCTGCTCGTCTGTTTATATGTTGATGATCTTGTTTTTACAGGAAATAATTCGGCGATGATTGATGCTTTTAAGGCATCGATGGTGAAAGAATTTGAGATGACCGATAATGGTCTCATGAATTATTTCCTTGGTATCGAAGTGAAGCAAAGTGCCGATGGGATTTTTATTTCCCAAAAAGGATATGCAGAAAATATCCTTGAAAAATTCAACATGAAGAACTGTATGCCGGTCAATACACCAATGGAGTGCGGAACCAAGCTTTCGAAGTTTGATGATGGTGCCGATGTTGATTCGACATATTATAGAAGCTTGATTGGGAGTTTGAGATACTTGACATGCACGAGACCGGATATTATGTATAGTGTTGGAATTGTGAGTCGATACATGGAGAAGCCGAAATCATCTCATCTTAAAGCTGCAAAGAGAATACTTCGGTACATCAAAGGTACTATTTCTCATGGCTTACACTATTATTGCTCTGAATCTTTCAAACTTAGAGCTTATTCGAATAGTGATTATGGTGGAGATATCGATGATCGAAAAAGCACCACGGGATTTGTATTTTTCTTGTGCGACACTGCTTTCACGTGGTCATCAAAGAAGCAATCAAGTGTTACTCTGTCGACATGTGAAGCTAAATATGTAGCTGCATCTTCATGCGTTTATCATGCAATATGGTTGAGAAGACTACTCAAAGATATTCTTATGGAGCAGACGAAAGCAACGGAGATTTTTGTTGATAATGTTTCTGTTATTGCTTTGGCGAAAAATCCAGTTTTTCATGAACGAAGTAAACATATCGATGTTCGATATCACTTCATCCGAGAACAGGTTAAAGAGAATGAAGTTGAAGTATTGCATGTGAAGACCGGAGATCAAGTAGCAGATATTTTTACTAAACCTCTCAAGATCAATGCTTTTCGAAAGTTCAAGAGCCTGCTTGGAATGATTGATGGAAGAGAATTTGGTTTAGGGGGGAGTGTTAGAAATTAAACCAAATTTGTTGATACCTGTTTCCTTTTTTGAGTCTATTCGTATTTTCATATTTTGATTTTTCGTGTTTTTAGGTGCTAATTATAGTTTGAGCCCGAAAGAGGAAAGTTTCCTAAGTCAATTAAATTTCCTATTTTGAATAGGTTTCCTAATTGAATGGTTTCCTAATCGGAGTAGGTTTCCTAATTAGAATAGGTTTCCTAGAAAGAGGTTTCTTATTTCGAATCAAACTATGGCCTATATATAGTCTATTTCTCTTGTAATTGAGACATGCAATAGAAAGGCGCGAATTGCGATCGTTTCACCTTCAAAAATTTCTTCCATCAAATCAATATTGTTGCCACGTCTCTGACGCTCAACACATACATGTTCTGATTCTGGCCATGCGAGCTCACAACCTTAATCAACGGCATTGCTGTCGGATCGGGTGGAGCCCCACATAAGAAGTATGATAAACGTGATCACCTTATTGCTGTTTATCAAGATCTGTATATAATAGTTACAAGAAATTATCCAAACATCCTTACATCAGCTAATTGCTTGATTAAGATGCATTGACCTTCCTGCAATTCGTTCTTACTTGTCCATCCGTCCCTGTGAGGGGGCTGAGGTTTCCCATCTTCACCATAGCATCGGCCAAATCGGCAAAGAAGGCGGCCGAGTCAAGGCTGTAGGTATTCACTTGCGAGTCGGTGGATCCGTTGTTGAACAGCTGCCGGTCCGAGTGCAGAAGGCCCTTCATGCTCACTAGATTCTTGAAGTAGTTGTTGTCGAACACATCGCCGGTGGCGTCGAGCGACGCTAGATTATCCTCCCCACCGGCACGGGGACAGTCCTGCTCCAGCGACGCAGCAAATGTGGGGTCAATGTTCTTCTCATTGTAGATGCGAATGCCGTACAAGACGCACCTTGCTCGGCCTATCAAGTGAGTTCCTGCGGTACGAAGCACATACAATGGCGGATCATGGTCGGGTGATTTTCGTTCGACGACAATTAAAGAAAATCTTTCCAAAGTGCAAAGACCAAAAGAATGAAATTTCTTTCTCAGATTAATAACATTTTTTGCCAAGTAAATTAAACTAAGTACCTGAGAGGGCGACCATTTCTTTGGCAGAAAAGCCCTTTTTAGAGAAGGCGGATATGAGAAAGCTAAGGTCTGAGAGTGAGGGAGGAATATCGCTGTTTGCAGCTCTCAGACTTGCCGTGGTTGAATCTCTCCTGCCTAGTTGTACGTGTAAAACCTCAAGAAATTAATATCTCAAGGCAACAAGAGTTGCGGCTAAAGGCAGCCATATATTGTGTTTTAATAATATTTTGTACATCGCTAATGAAAGATACATGTGCCTATTTATAGGCTTTAAAGGTTAACTATCTAAAGTAACAAATAACAAATATCAATTACAGCAAATCAAAATCAAGACAAAATCTCCTAAATATATCTATATCTCTAATACAGGAAAATAATCATGGAGGAAATCTCTGCTGAGCTGTAGCCTTGCTGTCTAACATCCCCCCGCAAGCTGATGTGGCAGGAGTCACAGTAAGCTTGATCTGAAGAAGACGGAACCGAGGAGTGGAGAGGCCTTTAGTGAAGATGTCAGCTGGTTGATCATGAGTGGAGATGTACTGAACATGAAGCTGTCCTTTGGCCACACGCTCGCGCACAAAGTGGTAGTCAATCTCTACATGTTTAGTGCGAGCATGGAAGATGGGATTGCCAGTTAGATAGATAGCAGAAATATTATCACACCAAAGGACAGGAGGAGCAAGCAGACGAACATGAAGATCGCGTAGTAGAGCTTCTATCCAAATAAGTTCTCAACGGGTATCGCAAGACACTTAAACTCGGCTTCGGTACTTGATCGGGCAACGGTCCGCTGTTTGCGGGAGCTCCATGAAATGAGATTTGAACCCAAGAAGATGCCAAACCCGCCAACAGAGCGACGAGTATCTGGAGCACTAGCCCATCCCGCATCGGAAAAAGCATGCAACTGAAAAGAAGAGCCGGGAGTGAAGAGAATACCATGATGTTGAGTGCCTTTGATGAAACGAAGGATCCTTTTAACAAATTGCCAGTGGATCTCAGTGGGAGAGTGCATGAACTGACAAGCTGTGTTGACAGCATATGCGATATCTGGGCGAGTGAGCGTGAGATACTGTAGAGCCCCTACAATGCTGCGATATAGCGATGGATCGGAGAAGGGTGCACCAAGATGAGCAGACGGGGCACCAGCCGAAGTGGTACATGGCGTGGAAACAGGACGAGCCTCGGTCATTTTGGCCCGCATAAGTAAATCTGCAACATATTTAGCCTGATGGAGAATAATGCCTCGGTCTGTCCGGTCTATTTCAATGCCAAGAAAGTAATGAAGCTTTCCCAGATCTTTAATAGAAAATTCCTGCTGCAAAGATTTAATGAGAGCCGACAATGGCGCATTAGGTGACCCAGTGACAATAATGTCATCAACATAAACCAGGAGGAAAATACTATGCTGAGCTGTATGAAGAATAAAGAGTGATGAATCGGCAATTGAAGGAATGAAGCCCAGCTGAACCAAAAAAGCACTGAGGCGTTGATGCCAGGCTCGAGGAGCCTGTTTAAGACCATAAAGAGATCGCTGTAATTTGCAGACATAGCGGGGATGAGCAGAATCAACAAAGCCAGGGGGCTGCTCCATGAAAATTTCTTCTGTTAGGTGACCATGAAGAAAGGCGTTCTTCACATCAAGCTGCCGGAGTTGCCACCCACGAGAAAAGGCAACAGAGAGGACAGTACGAACTGTCACATGCTTGACAACAGGGCTGAAAGTCTCATTGTAGTCGATGCCTTCTTGTTGATGGAATCCCTTTGCAACCAATCGGGCTTTATACCGCTCAAGAGAACCATCGACGGAGCTTAACCCGAAGACCCATTTGCACCGATGGGTTTACAATTCGGAGGAGGGGACACTAATGTCCAGGTCTGATTTTTTATGAGGGCAGTGTATTCATCCGCCATAGCCGCATGCCAATTTGCATCTTTCACAGCCTGACTAAAGCAAGAAGGTGTGACAAAATCTGACACAGAGGTGGCCAACGCATAAGTGTGATCACTGCGAATGTGTCTGTGGGCTAAAGTGCCATCACGAAGGCGTGTCACCATAGGATGTGTCGGCTGAGCTAGTGGATTCGGCGGAGAAGCTGCTGTCAGGATTGGTGCAGCTGCGGACTGAGAGGGAGACCCATCAGTGGGTTCATGCAGTGAGGTTTCGGACACACCTGAACTGCGCTGATTCTGCAGCAAGGAATTAGCAGACTGCAAATCGCAATTAGAGGGAGAACAAGGCTCACGTGGTGGTTGCTGTGGCAAAAGAGTTCCAGACAACTCAGCAGAAATAAGCGGCTGAATGGTTGCGGCAGCCTCCGAAGATGATTGCGGAGTGTTTTGCGCATAAGGGAGATCTAATTCGTCAAACACGGCATCAGCAACAATGTAGAACCGTCGATGCTGAGGGGAATAACACCGGTATCCTTTGTATCCTGATGGGTAGCCCAAGAAAATGCACCGATGTGACCTTGGTTGCAGTTTATTCTTCGCATAGGGTCGAAGATTGGGATACACTGTGCAGCCAAAAACTCTTAGATGAGCAATAACTGGAACCATTTGAAATAAAATCTCCCATGGTGATTTATTCTGCAGAACCGGTGTGGGCAGCCGATTGATAATGTGTACAGCTGCTTCAAAGGCAAAGTCCCAATAATGATAGGGGACAGAAGCATGATAGAGCATCGCGAGTCCCATTTCAACTATGTGGCGATGTTTGCGCTCGGCTGAGCCATTCTGAAGGGGTAGGCGTGGACAGGAGGTCCTGTGAAAAATACCTTTCGCTTGCAATAAATGAACAAACGGTGCAGAGATAAACTCTCCCGCACGGTCAGATTGAAAAGCTTTGACCTTAGTGTTAAGTTGATTTTCAACGAAGGTGAAGAAAACAGTGACAATGGATAAGAATTGGTAGCGAGAATGAAAAAGATAAAACCAAGAAAATTTAGAGTAATCATCCGTAAAGCAAACATAGTATTTATTATTTTGGGACGACATGACAGGAGCAGGCCCCCAGACATCAAAGTGAACTAGTTCTAGGGGAGCCTTAGACCTATTAGTGGTCGGTGGATGAGACTGTTTATGACTCTTGCTGGAAAGACAAGCTGAACAAACTGGAACAGGACTTAACGACTTATTGAAGATTCTTGAAATAGTAGGAAATGCGGCATGACCAAGACGACGATGCCAATGGGTGAGTGACTCCACTTGAGAAACGAAGCAGGTTGGAGACGTAGGTGACAATGATGAGAGTGCGTAAAGGCCTTGATTAATGTCCCCCCGGAGAAGGATCTTGCCCGTACGACGGCACTTCACAAAGAAACAGTTCGGTGAGAAAATAAAGTCACATGAATTTTCAGCAGAGAATTGACGAACAGAAATTAAGTTCTTAGTGATAGACGGAACGACCATGATATTAGACATGCGGAAATCACGGGTAATAAGGGTACCTATGTGAGTGATGGGAAGATTTGACCCATTACCTATGGTGACCTGCTGAGTGCCATGATATGGCTGAACTGAGGACAGCTGATGAGGATTGTTGGTAATATGATGTGTGGCACCTGAGTCGGGATACCAGGCATCGGGAGAAAGCACCGATGGTGGAGGAGGTATCTCAGCCAATTGAACTTGTGGTGGAAGTGACTGCTGCTGGTGCGTGTGGCCTCCAGAGAACCCAAATTGTTGGTTGAACCGATTGCGACAAGCAATGGCCTTATGTCCCGGGCGGTTGCAAATCTGGCATCTCACATTGCTACGTCTTTGATTTTTGTTGCCATTGAAATTTCGATACCAAGTTAAATATAAGAATTGCAAAAGAGTACATAAAGAGCCTATTTCGATATTTCGATATTGAGAGTTGCCCGGATTATTGAAGCTGGGCTGCTGTCCATGAGGATTAAGATTCCTCTGTTGCCCCGTATTTGAGCTGGGGCTATTGAAATTGGAAATAGGGCCACGATGTGAATGAGAATTTTGGCCCAAGCTGGTGTTGTGCGCAACGAAGGCAGCTGGTTGGGTGGTTTGTGGTTCCTGGAGCTCCAACAGTGCTTCATGAGCCAAGAGAAGGCCATGAAAAGACTCCCTGGTCATTTGTTGATGCTGAGTGTGAACCGAAATTGCAACAGCCAAGCTTTGGAACTCAGCTCCTAGGCCTCGGAAGATATGCGTTCGGTACTCTTGTGGTGAGATGATCTCACCAATGGAGGCCAATTGATCAGATATAAAAGTAGCATGTTGAAGAAATTCGGTCACTGTTTGATTACCTTTTCGCATCGTCTGAAGTTGCAGCCGCAATTGGGTAGCTCGCGCACTATTTTGGGCAGCGAAAGATGCAGAGAAGAAATTCCACACAGCATGAGAGGTGCTCAGATTAGATAACTGACCCACAATTGAATCGGCTGTCGTGCTTAAGATCCACCCGAGAGCAATCTGGTTGCGTGTATACCAGTTATCGTATTCAGGATTGGGCACAATATTGGAAGAACCATCTGTATTGGTTTGAGTAATTTGTTGTGGAGGACATGGTAGCGTTCCATCGACGATCGAAATCAGTTTATTTGCACGAAGGAAGGGGAGGATTCGAGCTTTCCACACCACGTAGTTGTCCCCGGTGAATTTCACCCCAAGATTTGGACAACCAGATGATCCCATGAAATTTCCAGATGACGGAATGACGGGACTGGTGAGAGACAAGATTGTTGAACTGGATGGCATTGAGATGCTAACAGCAGCGGATGTCACGGGACTCGATTCCATTGAGGAATTTAGATTGGAACTCATGGCTATGATGCTTTCGCAATTGATAGCTCTGATACCATGTAAAACCTCAAGAAATTAATATCTCAAGGCAACAAGAGTTGCGGCTAAAGGCAGCCATATATTGTGTTTTAATAATATTTTGTACATCGCTAATGAAAGATACATGTGCTTATTTATAGGCTTTAAAGGTTAACTATCTAAAGTAACAAATAACAAATATCAATTACAGCAAATCAAAATCAAGACAAAATCTCCTAAATATATCTATATCTCTAATACAGGAAAATAATCATGGAGGAAATCTCTGCTGAGCTGTAGCCTTGCTGTCTAACAGTACGGTCCACGTTGGTCCACCCAACTGAAAAACATTGCATGATCCACAATCAGTATAATTGATCTGATCATAGTCACCTTCGATCTTACTGATTTGAAAGGAATAAGACTACACTCAGAGTAACATTTGATCCGAAATCATCAATTAATGCATCGCCATGGGAATTGGAAAATTTATTCTTTGCCAATATTACCACGTGTGACCAATAAATATGGATATTATATAGTTGTTGCAGTACATAACCACTTTATTTTGTTAAAATATTTATTGGTTTGTCACGCCATGTTAAGAAGAAATGTGAGCTTGTCGATAGATTTTTGTTTCCTTCTCTTTTGAGAGATGATCAAAAGGATATCTCGTGTTTCTCTACAGGTAGAAAAGACATCTTACAGCAACGACGGAATCGCGGGCTGCGACGGCTAGGATGTCGGCACACGAAACGATCCCGGGGCACTGTCCTTCGAGCCGAGCCTTGATGTTGTCAACCACGTCGAAACCCCTGATTGAATTCACATTGGGGCGAGCCGTCTTCTCGCCCGTGAATCTCTCGGTGTCATCCAACAATACGGAGCCATCACAACCCTGTTCAAACCTCGATATTCTTAGCATTACTGTTGACAAGCCATTAAGCTTTTGTTTCGACCTCGTTTGCACTCTCTGCTTGAACAAAGTTTGACAGTATCATGATAAAATATTGATTTATAAAGCAGCTTGGATGGAAGTAGAAGAATCGCCTAGAATTGAATATGCCATTTATAATCTAGGAAGAACAACACAGTACGAAATTAGGTCGCGACATCAACACAAGACTCGCCTCATTTTTTGTCTTTTGATTGTATATAGTGGCTGTGTGAACCTAATCATGTGTTTTTTTTTACCAAAGAAAGTGATGTATCCAGTGGAACTTGATGATGAAGATGACATACGAAGAGAAAAAGAGAACAACTTGCATTGACAAAGCAGTCGTGGTAATGGAGACGCAAGAGCGAGGCTCCCATTCGGGGCTCCGAGGACACCGCCGTGCTCACGGTCTCCTGAATAATGGACAGAGCCGAAGGACACGAACTTGCGTAGAAGTTCGGCGATAGCTGAGCCGAAGCCACCACGAATGCAACAACCAAAAAGAAGGAGAAGGTAATGATCATGGAGAAGGAGAAGGAAGCCATTGATGTGGCTGTGTGACTAGCTAGTCTTAAACCTGAGACGTTACTGGTTTTGCATGAGATTAGTTCCACTAATGGCGTGGCCTAATTTATTGGCAGAAGTTTTACCTCCAGTTGAAACTTATCTTGTAAATAAAGTAAGAAAAAGTTAATAGGGACGTCTAGAGCATTTCTCTTATCAACAAGGTGTAAGAATAATTGTGGCCACATGATGTTATTAAATTAATGGTTTAATAATTATTATGCTATAATAATCGTATTGGCTATGAAGAGATGCGACTCTACGAAACGGAATGTGCTTTGATGGAAGGCATCTAGTGAAAGCCCATATAAATAGATTTTGGTCCTCTCTCCACCCACAGAAGAAAGAACTTATGATTGTATTCTATCCTCCATCAGATAAAATACGTTAAAGAGAAAAGTGGGTTAAGGGAGAGAAATCAAATTTCTACGTTTCTTCTGTTTCTGCAACAATTATATTCAAGGGCAACACTATGGATAAACGTATGTCTTCATCCTTCTTATTGTGAAAATCATGAAGATTTAAGATCCTGTTTTCAGAATTTTTCCACATAAAAGTATTATGTTATCGCCTAACACAAGGTAACTTCAAATCTCCAAGTTACTCCTTTAAGAGGACGCCGCATCAACACATTCTAAATAGATGTCGTAAATTTAACCAAGACATTCCGAAAAGATGATGGGACACCACCCATCTTCTATCTCCTCTTTCTCCATACTATATCCTCCTCTGATTGTCGCCCTCTAGTATCACTGCGGTCGCTTAATCGGCCAACACTACGCAGCCGCACCCTCCGCCTCCACCAGCCACCGCCAACGGCAGGCACACTTCGCCTTCCTCCGTCCTTAACCCTCTACACTCGACGCTATCTCTCTCTACATACCTCTTTTGATTTCAAATTTAGGGCCTCAGATCTGAGCTCTCTCTCTCTTAACTTAAGCGATCCGGTCTTAGGCCGTTAGAGGAGGTCACGACCCCTCGATCTCCAACAGCCTTGTTGTGACAGTTAAAAGATATTTCTAGGGCATCGTGTATATTTCCCCTCATTGGTCCCGATTGATTGTAAATAATACTTTGCAACTTTGGATAGTTTTTAGATATAGCTTATAAATAGACTCGTGTCTCTACATTTGATAATATACATTTTTCTTTCCGTCGTTACAATTCTCAATCGCGCGGTCGCAAACTTGCTTGCAAATGTAGAGAGAGAGAGAGACCTATCAGTGTTGGGCACGATGGTGACAATGACAAACTTCTTGGGTTTCTATGTAGTAACTAAGGAGCGGAATAGGGAAGAAGCTAGAAGGAGAAAGAATAAAAGAAACCAACGATGATACCTAATCCTCGGCCATTGATAACTAGGCGTGTAAGGATAAATTGTATAGCTGCGGTTAATTCTAAATTTAGAGGATCACAATTGAAGGTTGTCAAACATTTCACTCTAAACTCAACATTTCACAATTATATATGTGCGGTTAATTCACTCAGAATTCCTGCTCAAGAGCTAAAATGGAAGGTGAGATTCTGACTTACATGACGAAGAGGAAAAGGCCCTAAGCACCAATTTCAGATTGTTTAAATCTTTTAATAGATCTAATATAAAGGAAAATCACATGTAATGCCCTTACCCCTTACCCGATTTGCTAGTACAAGATTCATGAAAAGAGTCAGACAGTAGTCCCCCTTGTTAGTAGCTAGATATCATTTGATAGTATATGCGCTCTTAGCTCATACACCATACAAAGACAAACAAACCGAGGCCTAACCCAACTCATAAATCATAGACCAACGGAAGAGGGCAAATGGAGATATGGGACGTGTGTCCAGTTCTCAGTGCAAGAAATTGGCCGAAAATTCTTTCTATTTCTCGCCTGACAAGGTTTGACGGGGAGTGATTCCCAATTGGCTCAAAACCAATAGTTGTCGAAACAATATCGACAGAACAAGCCGATTAGGTTTGCACAGAATCGCAAGCGAAACATGGAATAATACATACAAATCTACCCGATTCGAAATGACAAGTCAAGAAATTATCGAATCACTCGGAAGCCGGTTGAATGTAAGAGCACAAGACCTTGACATCGAAGTTGTAATTTCCTAGGTGAACATCTGACTTTTTCTTCCCCTTGACCATACGATATATAACCATAAGTTTAGTAGTTTACAGTTAACTTTGTTAAATTTTTCTAATAATCCAAAAAATACAACGTGTCATGGGAACAATCTAGGTCAAGCCCACTTGGCTTGATGGGCTCGCTCAGGCTCGAATTATTTTGTGGATCCGGGCCGAATTCATTGATTGAAATAATGCACAATTAATGAATCATTCACGTCGGACTTATTAGGGACCCTTTCGTGACCTGATAAATTGAGCATTATCACCAGCGGCACTGTATAGCAATCAATGAACAATGGTTATATTATCTTCTGATAATGAAATCATAATTAATCGCATCTCCCATGAAAAGCACCCTGCTCGAGTAATGTAGCAAGATCTTTGTTAACAATTTTCTCAAACAAAATTGTTTGAGAATTCGACTTTTGAACGGACACATTTAAGTTCCGGATCTTTTTCCTTACCGCCGTTGAACATCGCTTGCCTTCGCCGGTTGTCGTTAGCCATCGGGTCTCGGGAGGGTACAAGCCTGCAAGGTTTTTAATTTTTCATATTTTAATATCCACATCACTTGGACACGCATCACTTTTTTAATGGATCTGAGTAGGATTATGTATGCCCCGTATGCTGATGACGCGGTGGTTTGACACCACTGAATATTTTTTTGGTGGATTTGTATGTGTAGCCCTTCCTTCAGTTGTTCCTCTATGCAAGTGAGCAGGCACTCTCTATAATATGTTTAATTGGAAAATCACAACATATAGAAAGGAAAGAAAAGCCGAAAAGCATAGAAGATGCCGAGACCAAAGTCTGACATATGAGCTGGAGCCTAACGAAATCGGATGACAACGAGCAAGATTGGTTGTTTCAAAAATCATGAACGATAGAGATTCGAATCCTGAAACTCGCGATCTATTTTCCATTCTCAATCAATATTTGAGACGAGCAATTTCATAAAATAAAAAAAAACTTGCGGGATCTTGAAAAACCGAGAAGGAAAAAGAAATCAGAGAACTTCAAAGTTTGAACATCATAAATACTCGTTGGTTACGATGCATCATTCTCCTAAATTTTTTAGACTTTAGCATAATCACATTTCATTAGCATGTAGCATAATGGTCTAAACAAACGATAATGCACCTGCCCCTTAAACTTTATTGATGTTTATTCATTGTGGTCCGATCATTCATATGAGCAATTCACCTCCAAACCCATTGAGAAGACACAAAGCAAAATGCAGTGTCAAATTAAAAAGAAAAGAAGAAAGACAAAAGAAGAAATGAGAAACAAAAGAAAGAAAAAAGACAACGAAGGCTTAAAGCCCTAAATAGAGCGCACGTGGAAAGGCGGGCGTCCGCTTTATCAACGTCGGAAAAGACAGCATTCCCATCCGGTGAAACAAGGGTCTACGACCCCACGGAGAACGACCAACATCGTCTCACGTATCGTATGTATCGTGAAAAACGTGTCGTAGGTGATCCAGTGGGGACGCTTGGCTGACCACCAGGAATGCTTTGGAAGGTTTTGGACGCAGACTGCATCCAGAGATAGATATCCCGGTTTGCTGCATCTTAATTTCGACTTCTCTCCATTTATATTTTCTGTTTCTGGTGTTGATTGATCCTGACATTATATAATAATAAGTGATCAGTTCCCATTGTTGGGGTCTCGTTCATACTCTTCATAAATAGGAAGGCGTGAAATCTCGCTCTCCGGCTAGCAGATGGGGCCCCAGGAGCCACCTCAGTGAGGGTTGCGGGGCAGTGCCCCCGAGCTGCCTGAGGATTTTATAGTTTTGGTCCTTATTTTATTAACAGTTTGGGTTTATGCTCATGAATAACTACTATGCCACCAATATATAATGTCTTTCTCTTGTAATTGAGAGTTGTAATTAGAAAAGTGGGAGGTGCTAATTATAATGGAATCATTTGCTGGATGTAGCCCTAATTTAAAAGTGAGCCAGGATAAATCTTGTATCTCGATTTCTCTTTCTCACTTTTATTTTGTTGTATTTATGCGCATAATCCTAACACATGTGTCGGGCCCCATTAGATTTACCCTTAAAGGGAGAGTCTCGATTTGATAAAAGAGTCACGAGCCTCATTTGGTAAAAAAGAACTTACTTGCGAATCCTTGAGGTTATCCAGCAATTAGAAGGCATAGGAAGAAGAAAGAAAAAAAAATGGAGACAACTTGATCCAAGGCATTACAAAATGACTCCACGCGCCGCTGCAGAATGCTCGTCGTCTGGCTCCCCAAGTCCGATGTCGCATCGGCACCACGAGACCATTATATACCAGAGTCGCAAACCAACCTCCAAAGATGTGCAGTGGAAGGTGACCGGCCTGTCGACAGGACCCCAAAAAAGTGCTAACTAGATAAGAGCCCTCCATTAGTGCCGACTCGCGAGTGAGCTCGAAATTCAATTACCGGAATTCAGGAGTTCAAATCTTTAACTAAACCACTCGCCCTTGATGGGTTGCGCGACCACATCTTGGTGGTGATAATACGATCTTTCGTCCTATAGTAAACTGGGAAGAACATTTAATTGCTTTCTTCCTCCTTACGGAAGCATAAAAGAAAAGCAGCAGCAACCAATCATGATACGTTGACTTACGAAGCCCTTTTTTATTTGTGGAGAAGAGCCGATATTATATTAAGTTGACAAGATGTATCTCTTAACTTAATAACTCAACTTTCTAGATTGGCAAAAAGACACAGGCTGGTCTTCTGTTCACTTTGAATGCTATCCAACTCTACATACAGCACTTCTCCCCGGCAGTCGACAGGCATTCTCCTCGACCTCCTCCGGCGCCTCTTCTCAAAGTTCCCGGCACGGCCACTGACTCAGGCATGTCGATCGCC